TTGTCTTAAGTCCTCCCTCATTCCGGCATGCCTTTGCTAAGGAGACCACTGGCTAATAATACACTGGCCAGGAATTTGTGCAGAGGAGGACAGGGCCTCCCCGGGGCCAGGGAATAGTTGGCGTTCGACTAGGAAATGCTAAGCCTGGTTAATGATAAACTCACCTCTCCTGTTTTTATTCTCTTGACTGAACATCCAATCTCAAAGTCTTTAGCAGCTATTCACTGGTTTTAAATTTATCATTGTTATTATTAGGGATGCTTTTTGTATTTGGAAGGGATACCTGATGTCACCGACTTCTACTTAGAGTATGAGGAAGAAAACATCGCTTAATTGAAGTCCAACAACCTGGTTCTAGCCCTGCCTCTACCTTAACTCACTGCGCAGTTATGCCCAGGTCACTGCTCCTCTCTGGGGCATGGTTTGACCATCTGTAATATCAACAGGAGGCCCAAAGATCAATGAGCTCCCTCCTAGCCCAACGGTCTATGAATCCATGGTTCTGAAGGGTGATTCGGGGAGAGATGCAAGTAGCAGGTGTGTACATATTCTTCTAGAAAGGGAGGAGAGACACACAGCTAACACTGGTGAGGGGATGGACAGAGCAGCAAGCCAGGTGATAGTTTCTTTGCTGAACTGGGAGAGAAGTTGAGTGGTGGCTCTGGTGGACGGCAGCTGCTTGGATGCCCCTTCCCTCACTTCTTTCGGTAAAAAATTTGACTTTTCTTTAGGAAACCACCCCTCCTCTACTCTCAGCCCAGAGGCTCCAGGTTTGGCCCATCAAAGTGAGGTATCTTCCCTGGCTACAGTTCAAGGATGGCATATACCCCAAGCCAGGCTAAAAAGAGCCTACTTTTGGATTTCCTGCTGGAGCTAGTGGAAAACAGGCTCTCTCTCTCTCTGCTAGGGTTGCTAAGTTGGTTGGATGTAAGCCTGGTACCTCTTTATCACAACCTCAAGAGAGCCTATCCAATACTAAGACTAAGACTAAAGCCAAGTCTAAGAACACAGAACCAGGATATAAGCAAGGCAAATCCCAGGTGATGCTGCATACCTGGATCCAGCAGGACCTGAAGCCTCTGGATTTCTCAGTTATCAGAATTAATCTTTCTGTTTGTTTGTTTTCTGTTTAATCTTTTCGTTTAAATCAATTTGAGCCGTGTTTCTGTCATTTACGACCAATGAACTCAGGAGCTAAGCACCCCGATCAGGAAGTATAGCCTAGACTCCCAAAGGCGGCCCCACGTTACAGCTGGGAGGGACTCCAGATCAAAGGGTCCATGCCATTGCTGTTTCTCCCAGGCAGGTATGCTATCTGCCACGTGTGCTCTGCTCCTATACTAGACCACAGATGCTCACCTAGAATAGAAGGGCACCCTGAAAACAGAGCTAATCCAGGTCCTAAAGGGAGCTGTCTGCCTTGTTTTCTATAATGGGGGGTTAATAGTACCTGCCGGTCCTAGGCAATAATCCTTCAAATGGTGAGTTTCAGAGGGTGGCTTCCACTCAGTCAGAGCAACTGACTCCCTGGCTTTGGGTGGGAACATGAGACTCCGGTCACTCCAACTTCAGTATCCCCTGCCCTGGCCTTAGTGATTGATTGGGTCAAGAATGGTCACATGACCCAAGGCAGACCAATCCAAAACCCACCCTGGGATTTTTTAACTTGAGCAGGCAGAGAAGAATTTCCCCCGTGCTGGGTGACACGCATGTAAGAATGAGTATCTGGTGTTGCTGGGGGCCAGGAGAAGATCTGTTATGAAAGAATGAAGCTAACACCCTGGGATGAGCAGAGATTCAAGGCTGAGGGCCACGAGCCTGGCAGCTCTGGGGCCCTGGTTCCAGCTGGCACCAGTTCTACCTTGCCTTCCAGCTTGTGAGCCAAGAAACAGTCCTCCCTCTCTCCTCCCTTTAAAGCAAGTTTCAAATGGGTTTCTGTCCCTTTCAAATGAACCAAAGATATACTGTTTTCTTCTAAACCAAGGGAAAAACAAAGATCCAAGGTTGGAGGCCCCTTCGTTACCACTGTCTACCAAGGAAAGGGCTCTGATATCAAGGCACAGAAGTGAATAGGCAAGAGCATCGGGCTTATTCCAATCTTGATTCCAACCCTCTCCAGCGTTATGAGCTTTGCACAAGCAACAACCACTCTGAGCCTCAGTATCCTCACCTGAAAAAGGGGGATAATGATATTCTTTTCCCCATAGGGTTGTAAAGGTGAAGTGAGTGCCTGGCATAGAGTCCTTGCTCCAGAACTAGTAGCTGTTACTATGACTTCCTTCTCCCTAAGCTTTTCTTCACTGTTCCACCAGAATCTCAGGTCAGAGGGGGACACAATTGTTTCTGGGGGCCCTGGATCCTGCTGCAAAGCCTGTGTGTAGCTTTTGGCTCTAGAAGGTTGGGAAGCTCTGGCCTCTGCTGGGGAGGTTTGGAGAAAGAAGAGCTCAGCCCTGGTTTTGGGCCAAAGGACAAGCTGCTCAGGACCACACAGTCATGGGAACGGTGGCCCAGCCAGTGGGAGGCTGGCTGTGTGGGAGCCCAACCCACAGCCAGGGCCTCAAAGAGCCAGACGTTCCCAGCAGGCAGAGAGACTTCCCACTTGCACAGAAGAACCATCATTTATCCATCTCATTCATTCAGCAAAAAGCAGCGTACCAGGCACTGGGCAGGGCTTTGCTGGGCTCAGGGTCAGTTAACCAACACCAGAATGAGTAAGACCCAGGCTGTGTCCTCAAACAGCTAAAAGTAACAGCTGCAATGTGTGGAGCTAAGTGACGAGCTTCATGGAGCTGGTCTCTCAGCTGCACACCCCCACTTCGCTCCCCACGGTGGCCTCCCTTCTGGACTGTGGCAGTCTGGTGGTCCCTGCGTCATCACCTGGGTGTGAGGCAGCCTCCTCCCTGGTCCCTTTTTCCAAGCATCCTGGTTACAACCCTTCCTACCTACTATTGAAATCACAACTGTCCCAAAGCTCCAATCAAGTCCCTCCCTGCTCAAAAATCTTCAATAGCTCCTCATTTCCTGGGGACCAAATCCAGGTGCCTCAGCCTGGCATTTAAGACTCTTCAAGAGACAGCCCCACCACACTTGCAGTTTATCCTCCAATCCATCCTTTCCTTCAAATAGCTTACATGCCCGTCGAACTGAACTACACCCTGTACCTTAGACAGCCCAGAACTCTCTCACCTCCACGCCTTTGCCCAGCCATTTCTTCTTCCTGACTATCTCTGTGCCTCCAATTTTTTCCTGTCCTAAGGCTCCAGTTCAAATGCCACTTCCTTAAGGGGGCATCCTCACTGTCCTTATTTTTTAAAATGTCTCCCTAAATGGACTCCCCAGACACTTTCCTTCGTGCCAGTTACACCTGAACCTGGCTGCCTGGGGAGGTCGAATCACAGAGTGTTGTAGTTTGCCTTGTAAAGTGTGAGAAGCCACCGCCACTGTTTCTCTGTCTGGTGGACATAAGAAGCCACCCTGGAGCAGGACTTCACTGTTTTTCCCTGAAACCTTGGTGGCCCCTACTTGGAAATGCAAATGTAAAGGGAGCAGCCCTTCCCCGCCTCTGCCCTACAAGAATGGTGTTAGGGAACTTTTGGAGGGGCTGACAGAGGCCTACACAGAAGTGATCCTCTCCCTACACTGAAGTGATCTCAGAAAAACATGATGGACAAATTTGTCCTGAGAGGACAGGAACCTGGTCCCTCCCCATTTCCTCCTAGGGCTGACATTATTGGAACCCCTTGGATGGAGTGGATGTTTCCCAGAGAGTTGCTGGCGCAAACAGAGACCAAAGCTCCCAGAGGACCTCACCATGATTCAGGGTTGGGGGTGGGCTGGAGGTGTCTGGACTCGTGAACTGGCTTGACACCCAGAAGTCCATGCCAAACCCATGGCTTGGGCTGGAAGCCTCTGGGCCCCAACTCCCCCAAGCAGGGTGGGGAGGCTCTGGGAACGATGGCTGAGTAATGACGAAAAGCAGAAATCTCTGGAACCTACGCGTGGGATCCTGCACGGCAGCCCCATGGTTACTGTGGTCCAGGACGTGCTGGAGTGGGCAGCACCAACTCCCATCTGTGCTGCTATGGTAACAGGGCAGAAACTGGGGCGAGCTACTGGGTAAGTGGGGCTCACGTCTCCGTCTCTCTCTACCTGGCATTAAGCCTGGAGCGGCCGTAGGGTCCTGAGACAATGTGGATGTGAGGCAGGCAGAGGAGCTACACTCGAGATCTTACTAAAGGAGGCACTTGGGTGCTTGGGCGGTCAGTCGGGGAAAGAAGAAATATAACCACAGTTCCACCCCGGAACAGTGAAGCAGTCACACCATCGCATACTCGGCACGGCCTGCCTTGTTTTAGATTACAGTTAGGGCTCTACCAGTACACAACAAAGTCTTTCAGTCTTTATCTCAATTTCCCCTATAATATTTTGCACTGCAGAAGGCACACATTTTTGTTGGAAGGAGGGAAGGAAAGAGGGAAAGAAGGAGGGAGGGACTGTAGGTCTAGGAGAGTCCAGAGGAGCGACTTAGAGCTTGCAGCTGGACTAATAAGGGCAGGCTTCCTGGCAGAGGTAACCTGTGAGGGGCCTTGAAGGAGGAGTACCCTGAGAGGATCTTTGGAGCGTAAAGCGTTCCTGGAAACTGTCCTTTACAGTTCTAGGTCCCTGCAGCATGTCAGGGGCTAAGGTTATAGCAGGTGCTATCCCCATGTCCTCACCCTCTCTTCTTGTCCTCAGCCTCCCAGCAATTCTATGATTTGGGGATTCATTTTTTTTTTTGGAAAAGAATACAGATATATCTTACTTTTGCAAGTTTTACAAAATATACTGAAAACATACCCCCAGGTGAATGCATTGCCGGGGCCCCTCTCAGGACCCCAAGGCTTAAGCCTCATTAGCTTCCAGTAGCAGGGCTCTGCCTGCAGGAGCCCTCCCCCTCCGCCTGGGCTGGCGGAGAAGGGCAGAAGCTGTTAAAGGCTTTACGGGCCAAGAGTCAAGCTGACCTGAAATGCAAAGGCATCCTTGACCAGAGCCTCCCCAGACAAGAAGCTGGACCTGTATCTCAGGAAGATCTGAAAGGAGAAAACAAAACATGGAGGCTGCAGGACTAGTCCGCCCAGGTCGTGGGCTTTACAGGGGCCAGGGCACCACGTGTGTCATTAAAGCCACACTCATGGGCGCCTGCTCCTTCCAAGCACGTCCTCCAGAAGAGACACATTTTCAATAAATTGTAAAGAAATACTCAGAGATGAGAGTTGTTAGGACAAGAACGATAAAGAAGAGACAAAGGAGGAAGCAAACAGTGAGCTGCCTGGAGAAGGCTGTCAAAGGTGGTGCCCGCTGTGTCTGCTCACTCCCCTCCCCACCGATGTCACCATGCCGGGCTCCTGGCCTTGGTGTTGCAATCTGGCTATGCTTCTACAAGAGACCTGTATTTAGGACCAGAACAAGCACTGTGACTGCAGGGCCAAGTCACTTCAGTTGTCCAGGCCTCAGTGCTCTCATCTATAAAATGAGGGGTGTGCCCAGAGCAGCCACTGTCTTTTCCTGCACGACACCCATGCAGATACCCTTGGCGTGCCCCTCCTTCTCCCTGTAGAGAGCACATGGAAATTTGAGATGGTGAGAGAGGGGTGAGTATAGGATCAACCTTGCGTCCTTGATAATTTATATTTTAAAAAGTAAATCATGGGACTTCCCTGGTGGTCCAGTGGGTAAGATTCCACGCTCCCAATGCAGGGGACCCGGCTTCGATCCCTGGTCAGGAAACTAGATCCCACATGGCGCACTAAGAGTTTGCATGCTGCAACTAAGAAGTCTGCATGCCATAACTAAAGATGCTGCATGCTGCAACTAAGACCCTGCACAACCTAAATAAATAAATAAAAGATAAATAAATATGAAACATACTTATAAAGAAAAAAGTAAACCATTATTGCCCAATGATGTGAAGTAACTTAATGACACTCAAAAATGGTTAAAATGAAAACAAAAAGGTTAAAATGGTAAATTTTGTGTTATGTGTACTCATCACAATAAAAAAAATGGAATTAAAAAAGTATAACTTCAACAAAATGATTTTTTTTTTTTTTTGGCGGTACGCGGGCCTCTCACTGCTGTGGCCTCTCCCGTTGTGGAGCACAGGCTCCGGACGTGCAGGCCCAGCCGCTCCGTGGCATGTGGGATCTTCCCGGACCAGGGCACGAACCCACATCCCCTGCATCGGCAGGCGGACTCTCAACCACTGAGCCACCAGGGAAGCCCAAAATGAATATTATTTTTAAACACACATATACACATACAAAGTAAATCATTTGCAATTTTTAAAGCACTTTTGACTATTATAAGTTCCTTTTGTTATGACCACTGAGGGCCACATGCCTTGTGGGCTTTCCCACAAGGAACCTACCTGTTTTGAGATTCTCTTCCACATCAGACCCAGCCTCTGAAAGGACTGCTCTGTCTGGGCAGGTGGCACCAGGCCTGAGAGAAGTAGCAGCTGCAATGCTCAGCCCCCAGCTGCCCAGCTGGTCTGGGCCCCATACACACCCACCATCCTGGTCACGGTCCCTCTCTATGTCCTCACAGCCCACCTCCCTCCAGCAGAGAGGCTTCTCCTCCATTCCCTGGAAACCCAACACGCCCTGGGCAACTGCACCCCATGTACACACCTGGATCTGGTCGCCCAGCCACTGAAATGCAATAAATCCTGGTTCTGTTCTGATGACGAAGAGTCCAAGTGTAAACTGTAGTACAAGACCCCAGGACACAGCCCGCCAGGATACCTGCCACCCGATAGAAAGGTCCTGGTGAGCTCAGCTCCTCGGGAGATCCACAGGGAACAGTTGGGTGAGGGCAGAGGGCACAGCACTGCTGAGGGGCTATGGGAGATTTGGCCAGTCTGTAGGATGAGGGCTGGACCCAGCCAGAGCTCTGGGCCAGTTGCCAATGGTTACATTCCCCATGAAGTTCAGAATAGGCCACACTTGGCAGCAATGTGCCTGGGAAGTGGGCAGGGGTAGGGCAAGATCTAACCAAGGACCAGCCTGGAGTGTGCCATGGCACTTGGTCCTGGGTCATCACGGGATAGGTGGAGCTGGAGTTGTGGCATCAGTGTCCGGCTTCCATGTAACTTTTGTCTGTCTGGATCCTCCCCCATCCCTCCTATATAGTCAGGGCTCCCAGCCACTCTGACCCCACTCTCTCTCCCTCAGTGCACTCTCCCCACCCCCAGCAGAAGGGAGCTGGACTCCTAAGGGCTGCTGCTACCTCTCAGCATTTAATGACTCCTTAGCAGTGATCCCTACACCCAGGTGTGCATCAGGATCTCTGGGAGGCTTGGCTGGAGTCTGGGGGAAGGTGTTAACCACACTGTGAAATGGTGGTGGGGGGATCTGATATCAGAGAGAGAAGGGACTGCAGCCCACTCTGGACCTGATAGCTAAGCACTCACCGCGCGGTGATGCTTTGAGAAGGCAAAGAGGAGGCTGATGAACATGCAGATTCCTCCGAAGGACACCAGTTGCTCAGGCCGCTGAGAGGTGTCCAGAACCAGCCAGAGGATCAGGGCCAGGAAAGCAGCAAGGGCTAGAAAGGGCTCCCTGCGGGAGAGGGGCAGAAAGTCATCACTGTCAGCATCTCCTCACCCCCACACAATAGCACCCAGGGCCCCAGAGAAAGGGTACTCAGGGCTGGTGAGGGCAGAGAGAGAACGCTGTGTAACCTCAGACAGGCCACATAGCCTCTCTGAGTCTAGTTTCCTCATTGGGTAAACAAAGCCAAAGACACCCCGTTTCTCAAGGTTGCCGAGAGGACTAAGTCAGAGGATGTGTGTACTCAGCTTAGCATGGTGCCGAGCACATGGCCCCATCGAGAGGCAGGAATTCTCAGAGCTGCAATGATGCTCAGCTCAGCCCAGCCTCTGACCTTGCCAGGGTGAGGTGGGGCCTGTGTGGGCTAGAACTCAGCACCATGGACCATGGGCTCTGCTCCCCCAAAGCCCAGAAGCAGTAGTGTCAGTCTGGAATGCAGAGTTGAGCACCTGAGACCTAGGGCTGGATGCAACTTTTACAGCAACACCTCCCTCCCTGGGGCTGGGATTTGCTTGTCCAGGAGGCAGCCTGAAATGTTCAAGAGCCCAGGTCTGGGTACTGGGTGTTCAAGGTCTAGCCCCGACCCAGTCTTCAACTCACTGGGTACTATAACCACAGATAAGGTTCACTGAGCACCTATTATGTGCCAGGAACTATGCTGGGTGCTGAGAGACTTCCAGTAACTGTCCTCATCTTAGAGATGAAGAAACGGAGGCCCAGGAAGTTAAATGACTGGCCCACAGCTGCCCATCTAGAAAGTAGAAAAGCTGAGATCTTAGCCCAGGCACTCTGGCAGCAAATCTATTCCCTTAACTAGTTCTGTACACCGTCACCAGCCGGTAAGAGGAGGACCCAGGACCTGAAATCCATCAGGCTAACCCCACAGTTGACTGTTTATTTTTGGTGTGTTTCCCAAACTCCTATCATCCCAGTTCCATTGGCACGATTTTTGCCCTGTCTCTGTGCCACCTGTACTATTTTCCTTGAAGTTAACTCATTTTATAAAAACTGAAATGCATGTTTGGGGTTTTATTTTTTTTTTTGGAAGGGGGTTGTTTTTAATAGCTTTATTAGAGATATGATTTTTTTAACTTTTTATTTTATATTGGCATATAGCCGATTAACAGTGTTGTGATAGTTTCAGGTGCACAGCAGAGCGACTCAGCCATACATATACATGTATCCTTTCTCCCCCAGACTCCCCTTCCATCCAGGCTGCCACATAACATTGAACAGAGTTCCCTGTGCTACGCAGTAGGTCCTTGTTGGTTATCCTTTTTAAATATAGCAGTGTGTACATGTCAATCCCAAACTCCTTAACTATCCCTTCCCTCCACCCTTCCCCGCCTGGTATTAGAGGTATGATTGACATAATAAATAGAACATGTTGAAAGTGTACAATTTTTTTTTTGAAAGTGTATAATTTGATAGTTTCGACATATCGAAACATATTCGACACCATGAAACCATCACCACCATCACAGTGAGCGTATTATATCCATCACCCTCGAAAGCTTCTTCATACTCCTTTGTAATTCCTTCCCTCATCCCCAGGCAGCAAATGATCTGTTTTCTGTCACTAGATGAGTTTGCAATTTCTAGGATTTCATAGGAATGGAATCATACAGTACATATTTTTTTTTGTCTGACTTCTTTCACTTAGCGTAATTATTTTATTTTGAGATTCATCCATGTTTTTGCATGCATTCATTTCTTTGTATTGCTGAGTAGTATTCCATTGTGTGGATATACCACAGTTGGCTTATACATTCACCTGTTGATGAACATTTAGGTTGTTTCCAGTTTGGGGCTATTGCGGATAAAGCTGCTATGAACATTCAAACATTCATGTGCAAGTCTTTATGTGGAAGTACGCTTTCTTTTCTCACTATAAGTGGAATGGGTGACTCATATGGTAGATCTAACTTTTTAGGAAACTGCCAAACTGTTTTCCAAAGTCATTGTACATTTTTCCATTCCCATCAGCAGTATGTAAACGTTCCAGGTCCTCCGCATCTTTGCCAACATGGTTGGTATGGTTACTCATTTGAATTCTAGTCATTCTAGCAGACATACAGCAGTATCTCTTTGTGGTTTTAATTTGCATTTCCCTAATGACCAATGATGCTGAGCATTTTTCCATGTGTTTATTTGCCACTTATTTATCTTCTTTAACTAAACATCTGTTAAAATATTGAGCCCACCCTTAAACTGGGTTTTCTTATTATTGAGTTTTGAGAGTTCTTAATACATTCTGGATGCAAGTCCTTTGTCAGGTATATGACTTTCAAAGCTTTTCTCCTAATCATAGCTTACGTTTTTATTCTCTTAACCAAGTCTTTTTGAAGAGCAAAAGTCCTGAATTCTGATGAAGTTTAATTTATCATTTAAAAAAATGGATTGTGATTTTGGTTCTGTATCTAAAAAATTTACTTAACTCAAGGTCACAAAGATTTTCTCCTACGTTTTCTTATAGTAGTTTTATAGTTTCAGGCTTTACATTTAGGTTTATGATCTATTTTCAGTTAATTTTTTAATATAATGTGAGGCATGGATCAAAGTTCCTTTGTTTCTCTCTCCTCCTCCTATTCTTCTCCTCCTTCTTATTCTACATATGGATATCCTATTGTTCTAGAAGAATTTGTTGAGATGATTATTATTTCTTCACTGAATTGTCTTAGCACCCCTGTCAAAAATCAATTGGTTAAAAAAAAAAATCAATTGGTTATATATATGTAGGTCTATTTCTGTACTCTCTATTCTATTCCATTGATCTATTTGTCTGTCTTTATGCCAATACCACATTGTCTTGATTACTGTAGCTTTATAATAAGTCTTAAAGACAGGTAGTGTAAATTCATCAACTTTGTTCATCTTTTTCAAAGTCGTCTTGGTTATTCGAGGTTCTTTGCATTTCCATATGAATCCTAGAATCATGTTTTGATTCCTATCCCAAAAGTCTGCTAGAATTTTGATTGAATACTCTTAGAATCTATAGATTAATTTGAGGAGAATTGATATATTAAAAATATTGACTCTTTCAATCCATGAACTTGATATTTTGCTCCATTTATTTGTCTTTAATTTCTCTCAGCAATGTTTTGTAGTTTTCCATGCACAGGTTTGCAGGTCTTTTGTCAGATTTATCCTTAAGTATTACATATGTTTTATGCTATTCTAAATAACATTTATAATTTTAATTTATGATTGTTTGTTGTTAGTATATAGAAATACTTTTGTTTTTTGTATGTTGAGCTTGTATCCTTCAAACTTGCTAAACTCACTTATTAGTTACACTAGTTTTTTGGTAGATTCCATAGGATTTTCTATGTAGACAATCCTGTTGTCTGTGAATAAAGACAGCTTTACTTCTTCCTTTCTAATCTACATACCTTTTATTTCTTTTTCCTACCCGACTGCACAAGCTAGAACCTCCAGTACAATGCTGAATAAAAGTGGTGAGAATGGACATTCCTACCTTGTTCTTGATTTCAGTGGGTAAGCACTCAGTCTTTCCCGGTTAAGTATGAGGTTAGCTGTAGATTTTTGGTAGCTGGTCTTTATCAGATTGGGGACGTTCCCTTCTATTCCTAGTTTGCTCAGAATTTTTATCAGAAACGGGAGTGGAATTTTGTCAAATGCTTTCTCTGATTATGATGTGCTTTGGTGTGGTTTTCTTCGTGTTTCTTGTGCTGTAGGTTTGTAGAGTTTCTTGGATGTCTGGGTTTATAATTTTCATCAGATTTGGAATTTCTTGGATATAATTTCTTCAAATATTTTTTCTTCCCTCCTTCTCCTTTGGAGATTTCAATTACTTGCCTGTTTGCCTACTTAATGTGCCATGGTTAACTGATGCTCCGTTTGACTCTTTCAAGTTTTTAAAAAATTTGTTAGGTAGAACCTGAGCAGCGTTTATTCTGTGGTTAATTTTTCCCTGTTACTGACCCAAGATCTTTCTTAGTACTCTAAACAATATCTGGTGAATCATGAGGTTTTCCACTCTGATTATTGAGAGCAAACACTACTCCTGACCCTGTGTGATCTCTGGGCACTGTTCTCTAATCCTTTTCAGTGGTTCTTTTCTAGGCCTTGCATAGTTTCCTCATACGCATTCACTGATCAGAACTCAGGTGAATACTGGAGGAGAACCCTCTGCAGATCCCGGGGACAGATCTCTCCCCTCTGGTACTCTGCATCGTGAACTCTAGTCACCTTGGCTTTCCTGAAGTCCAAGCTCTGTCTTTTCAACTCAGGAAATCTACTGGCCCCACCTTAATGCCTCTTTCCTGCACTGTGGCCTGGAAACCCCCTCAATGCAGTAAGTTGGGGCAATCATAGAGCTCATCTCATTTGTTTCCTATTTCTCAAGGATCACTGTCCTTTGTTGCCTGATGCCCAATTTCTTAAGAGCCATATACTATTTGTTCTGGATTTTTAGTTGCTTCAAGCGAGAGGATAAACCTGGTCTCTGTTACTCCATCTTGACCTGATTTTGGAAGCCGAAATCAAATGCATGTATTTTAAAAACAGTTTATTGAGACAAAATTCACATACTATACAATTTTCCCATTTAAAGAGTATGGTTCAGGGCTTCCCTGGTGGCGCAGTGGTTAAGAATCCGCCTGCCAATGCAGGGGACACGGGTTTGAGCCCTGGTCCAGGAAGATCCCACAGGCCGCGGAGCAACTAAGCCTGTGTGCCACAGCTACTGAGCCTGCGCTCTAGAGCCCACAAGCCACAACTACTGAAGCCCGCGTGCCACAACTACTGAAGCCCATGCACCTAGAACCCATGCTCTGCAACAAGAGAAGCCACCGCAATGAGAAGCCTGAACACCGCAACGAAGAGTAGCCCCTGCTCGCTGCAACTAGAGAGAAAGCCTGGGTGCAGCAACAAAGACCCAACGCAGCCAAAAATGAAAATTAATTAATTTTTTTAAAAAAGAGTATGGTTCAATGGTTTTTAGTATATTTACAGGGTTGTACAACCGTCACTGCAATCAACTTTAGAACATTTTCATCAGCCCAAAGAGGAACCCCACACCTCTACTCACCACCCCCATCTTCCCATCCCCCTCCAGCCCTAGTCAGTCACTAATCGGCACTTCCCTGGTGGTGCTGTGGTTAAGACTCCGAGCTCCCAATGCGGGAGGCCCGGGTTCAATCCCTGGTCAGGGAACTAGATCCCACATGCATGAGCAACTAAGAGTTCATATGCCACAACTAAGGAGCCCATGAGCCGCAACTAAGGAGCACACCTCCCGCAACTAAGACCCGGCACAACCAAATAAATAAATAAATATTTTTTAAAAATCACTACTCTACTCTCTGTCGCTATAGATTTTCCTATTCTGGACATTTCATATAAATGGAATCCTACAGTATATGGTTCTTTGTGACTGGTGCCTTTTACTTAGCATAATGTTTTTAAGCTTTGTCATTATTGTAGCATTTATCAGTACTACCTTCTTTTTATGACCAAATAATATTCCATTATATGTATAGACACAATTTATTCAGCCATTTAATGGTTGATGGGCATTTGGATTGTTTCCACTTTGGCTATTATGAATAATGATGCCATGAACATTTGCATATAAGTTTTTGGATATATGTTTTCATTTCTCTTAGGTATATACCTAAGAGTGGAAATGCTGGGTATGGTAACTCCATGTATAACATTTTGAGGAACTGACATTGTTTTCTATTGCAGCTGCATCATCTTACATTTCTTTCAGGAGTGTTATGAGGGTTTCAAATTTTTTCGCATCTTTGCCAACTCTTGCTATCATTTATCTTTTTTGTTACAGCCATCCTAGTAGATGGGAAGTGGTATCTTGCTGTGATTTTTTTTTTTTTGGTATATAATTTGCAAATATTTTCTCCCATTCTGTGGGTTGTCTTTTCACTTTGTTGACGGTGTCCTCTGAATCAAAACATTTTAGTTTTTATATAGTCTAGTTTATCTGCATGTATTTTTCTTTTTTTCCTTGGCCATGCCATACAGCTTGCAGGATCTCAGTTCCCCAACTGGGGACTGAACCTGGGGCCATGGCGGTGAAAGCACCAAATCCTAACCACTAGACCACCAAGGAACTCCCTACCTGCCTATGTTTCTTTAAAGGAAACTTTATAACAATACCTCAAATGGAAAACCAGTATCAGCGATTTGTCATAAACAGAAGATGACTGTAAAAATAAATCCTTTTATAAATCTATTTAATAAAGAGAAGGCAAATGTAAAAACAAATCTATGTATAAATAAAACTAAAACTTTGTTTATAGGCTGGCTCAAAGCATTTTGCTGTGGTGCGGGGGTCTTACTTTGGGAAACACCATTATGCCCTGCACCCGCCTGGCTTACTCATTGATTATCTTTGGGCACCAGTTTCTTCATCAACAAAAAAAGAGTACCTTTTTTAAGCCATAGAAACATTTTTTTCCAGCTAATTTTTTCTTTTTTTTGCAAACCTGTTTATAAAACAGATAAAATAGAGCTGTCTGCTTGAAATGGAGACTGGGAGGCAGGGTGTCTGATGTTCCCCTCTCCAATCTCCCTCCCCTGCCCCATGGTACCTCCAAGGTTTCCAGAGCTCTAAGGAACCCAGTTTAAAAACCAGGGGATCCCAAACTGTTGTTCAGGAACATGGCCGGCTACATCAGAATCCCCTGGTGGCTAACTAAAAACATTAACTAAAGGGAAAAGAATTTCAATAAGAATAGATACACGTATATGTTTAACTGAATCACTTTGCTGTACACCTGAAACTATCATAGCATTGTTAATCAACTATACTCCAATATAAAATAAAAAGTTAAAAAAAATATTGATTCCTGGACCTCGATTCAGACTGCTGAATCAGACTCCAGGGGTGGTCCCCTGCGGCTGTATGTCTCACGCATGCTCCAGGTGATCTGATAGGAGGCACTGATATGGGTCCTCCCTGCTTGAATGGGCTGGGATATCTGAATTTAGGAAACTGTTGATTCCTGTCCTCAGGTATCATAGGCACCTGTTTTAACTGGAGCAGAGAATCAGGTGGGAACTGACAAAATGCCACAAAGATGGCACAAAGATGCCTCTGAAGCCACCCAGCAACACCTGCTCCGGGGCTCCCAGGAGGCGGGCAAGTAACATGTGCTCTCCATGGCCCAGGAGCCCTCTGGTGCGACAAGGACAAAGGACCTCCCCACCCAGCCCTGGCTGTGACCCCGCAGCTGACTCAGCGGCCCTCTGCCAATGTGCCTGCCCACCCCCATACTCCCCTGGGGCCTCACTTACCTCTTAAACCAGAGGTTCGGGCCGGGATGCCCCAGAGGCTTGACACACCTCAGCAGCTTTGGCCCCAGCAGCCTCTTCAGCAGGCTGTGGGCCAGGAAGACGAGGTCCACACGGGCGAGGACACCTCACCATACAGGTGAGGGCCCTCTGGAAATCCAGGAGGCAGGCCATCAGCAGGAAGGCAGCAAACGCTGGGAGTAGGTGGAGGATGAAACAGAGACGGGGTCATCCATAATGACACTGGCGTCTGCAGGACCCCGCAGCCCTATCCTCCAGCTCCACCTTACTCCAGCCAGAGCTCTCTGAGCCTTAGTTTCTTCGTCTGGAAATGAGCACCATTGTCTCTATTTTGTCAGAGGGTCATTATGAAGTTAATTGACAGAATGTGTGTAAAAGGGCTTTGCAAACTATAAAGTGCTGACCGAAGTGCTGAGGGAGATGTTTATGGAGGAGGCAAGACAGCATGAATCTCTGAGCATCAACGGAGCGCCTGCTATGTTCCAGAGCCACACTAGGTTCCGAGGAGGGCAGAGATGGATAAGTCAGTGGCTCCAGGAAGACATTCACTTGTGTGTCAGGATCCCGTTCTGAATATTCATCAGTGACCATTTTTCTTCCTGGAATTTCCTTTTCCCCCTTTGCCCTTCTCCCCATTTGAGCTGCTAGGCCAGTCTGTGCTATACCTCAAGCGAGGAATATGATAGCAGAGGGGAACTATCTCTCCCTGGCTTATGAATTTCAAGAGCCAGAGCCCTTGAAGAATGGAAAGGACTTATAACATTTCCATTGGATAAAAAATGTGGGATGGAACATTTTGAGTAAGCGTAATCCCTCCCCCTCCCCCTCTGCTGCCAAACTAGTTAGAGGATACCCGTGGGTCCCAGAGAAGAGGACTCTAAGCCAGGGGAGGTGGCAAAGGCCCAGGCATATTTGTGGCATTGCAAGCAAAGGCGTCCTGCCCCAGGGAGGCAGCAAAATGTCATGGAGAGGAATACGCGTGGAACGCATGGGCAGGCAGAAGGCTTCTAAGGTTCCGCACACCTCAGCAGGCACCGAAGCAGAGGAAATGATCTCTATGAGTGGCTCAGACAGAAAGGAGACCAGAACAGGCCCACGATGGAGATGGGGGTGTCTCCATGGCTACTTGCAGTGGCAGAGAACCCAGGACCAGTTGGGGAAGTGGACAGGTTAGCAGACCCTTGAGAACTGATCGTGGATAATCACCCCCAGGGACTCCTGAAGAAAGAGGTGAAGGCATATTCCACACTGACAGACGTTCAGTTCCTATCCCTCACTTGGAACAATGGAATTGAAATAGAAACTTTATTTTCCATAAGTCAAGTTATGAAAAATAAAGTTACTTTTCTCTGACGCAGAAGTTTGTGGGCTGGGACACCTGTATGGGGGTTAGTTAGAAGCACACAGGTGAGGCTCTGCAGGGCAGCGCCAGGGATGCAGGCATAGGGCTGTGGGAAGTCAAAGGAGTGGGAGCTGGTGGGAGACAGGCACCAAGGTCAGCACGATTTATAGCACTGCCAGAATTACTCCTCACACCCATTTCACGGGTCGGTACTGTGGTGATCCCCATTTAGAGATGAGAAGTGAAGTGACTCACACAGGGAGGAAATTGGACTGGAATTCCAACCTGGGTCTGTCTGCGGCCAGCAGGGACCAGCACATCGTGTAGGAGAGAGGGCTGTGTGGACAAGTCCTCCAGGGCAGGACACGGGAGAAACATGTATTAGGAAGTATTTTCATCCTTCTAGGATCCATTCACCTCTCCAGTGATAGGATTTTCTGTTCCTTTTGGGCACCCCTCCCTACTCTTAGCCCATGTGGTCCCGCGGTGTCTGACCCACTTCAGGGGGGGGAGACCACAGCATCCCCTGGGCCCAGGGATGGGCACATGACCCAAGCTAGGCCCATCAAAGGCCTCCAGGGACTTGGCTGGAAATATGGGCAAGAGGTACACTCTTCTGAGATTGGGGACGCTGAGGCCCTCCCTGTCAGTCAGCCATGGAGAAAGCCCACCTAAGGCGAGGAAGCCATTGCTATGGCTCAGACTAAGTGCTGAGAGCATGAGCTTCATTTCTCTACCACACCTACTTCAGGAAGTACGTGAAGAGCCTTGCCATAGAAGACGTGATACACCAAAGATATCAAAGAGCTGGAGGGAATCAAAATCCCGAACATAGAGAAAGTAAGGGAGGATTTAATGATTGAGACTGAGTTCCTGACAGCCAAGACAAAAGTGGAAATAGGATATGGTAGGTCATTTCCATTATCTGCTAGAAGGAATGCAATCATTTCTTCAAGAGAAACAAATCTGAGTCTGAGTGAAGGTAGACACAAGGGGAACCAAGACGGCCCTGCTCAGCTCCTGCCAAAGGAAGACTTCATGGTGTCCGACATCTCGAGGAGGAAGCTGCCAGGGCCATGAACCAGCCCCATCGCAGCAGGGCATCCTGCTTTTGATTTCATCATGAAGACTGGGGCCCCTGCTGTCATGCCTCCATGTCCTCTCCCCTGTGTAGTCCCCACGAAGGCCTCTGCATCCACACCCACCTCCCCTGTCCATCTCCCACCTGCCAAGCCAAATCGAGCCTCCAGCTGTGAGGACCCGCCTCTCCGCCTGGGCCCTGGACCCCTCCTTCCCCGTGCCCAGGGGACCTTGCTCCACCGGTCGTCTCCACCTCCTCGCTCTTCCCCCTCTTTCTACAAACTCCCTGCCTCAGCTCAGAAACACAGTCAAAGTGTCTCCCTTCACAAACACACCCCCTTCCTTGACACTGCCACAGCCTTCCTTTAATATTCCCACCCAGTTCTCATTAAAAAGTTTCTCACAAGAGCTGTCTAGACTTACTGTCTACACTGCCTCTCCTCCTGTTCTCCATCCAGCTTTTGCAAGTCCACCCTAAGTCACCATGACTTCCTTGTCCCTAAATCCCACGGACACTGCTCCATCCTTGGCCCGCTGGTCCCCTTACCGCAGAGATGCTGGTGACCTTCCCCTCCTTCTTGAAACCCTTTGCTCCCTGGGCTTCTGCACCGACTCTGCTCCTGGTGTCCTGCTGCTGCCCCCACCTGCACGCCTTCTCAGGCTGTCTCAGGACTCCTCTCCCTCTCTAATTCCTTCCGTGTGGCCGGTCCCCAGGTTTCCATCCGCGAACCACCGCTCAATTCGTTCTCCACGCACCCCTGGGAAACCTCTTCTCCTGGAGGGCCTGGCAGCGGTTACCTCCAACACACTGTCCAAAACAACTCGCCATCCCCCTCCCTGCTGAGATCCCCTCCTCCACCCCTGTTCCCTGGCTCTGGCGGGCAGTATCACCCAGCCCCGTGGTCCAAGCAGAACCCTGAGGCATCCTGGATTCCAGGGCCTCCTTCATCCTGCACAGGTGATCAGCTCCCAAGTCTGGCTGGTGCGGCTTCTCGAAGATTTCTCAGATCCGCCCCCTTCCATCCTCCAGCACTTCATCTTCTCCCATCTGGAACGTGGTCCTGAACATCTCCTTCTCCCGTCTTTCCCGCCTGCCTCTTCTGGGTTTCCACAATGTGAATCCAAACTTGACACTTCCCAGTTTAAATCCTTCAATGGCTCTCTCTGGCCTTGGAGGTAAAATCCAAGTTTCTCCAACTCCCTCCCAATACCTGGCCCCTTCTCATCTCTCCAGCCTCATCCTCTGGCACTCCCGGTCTAGAACTTTACCCTCCAGACACACTTGAATGTTTATCAGCTGCCTGCCCACATACTGCAGGTTTTCACCTTTGCTTGTGTGTTCCTCTGCCTTCTCACTCCTATTGTCCTTCCCCTTTTACCTGGTTAACTCCTGTTCAATCTGTGAGACTGGAATGTTACCTCCTCCTGGAAGTCCTCCCTGATCACCCCCACATCCTTCCTTGGTGCTCCCAGATGGCTCTCGGCATCATGTGGAAATATTTGTTCCCCTCTCCCTTACTGATCAGAGAGTACCTTGGGAACAAGATCTGGTCTGGTTCAATTCTCATTCCCCAGCTTCTGGAACAAGAGCTGGCCCTGAGTTGGTGCTCAACAAACCTTTGTTGAGTTATTGGATAAGTGAATGACCCTGCCCTGAGACATGGATGGCTGGGGTGGAGGTGGCTGAAACCTGGGTGGTGGGAGCCATGGGGCTAAGCAGGAGTGTCTGTCTCCCTGGTGGGGCTGGGCCCCAAGCTCACCAGTACATAGCAGGCCTGTGCAGATCCATCGAAGCAGCTGTGCGTGCTCCCTGCAGAAGCGTCTCACCCTCAGGACTGGCTGCAGGCTCCTCCTGGGGAGAAGACCAGCAGGGTCTATGAGTGGCTCCCCTGACTCCCACCCCTGTGGGGATTCTCAACGCCTCCAGGTAGAAGCCACTCAGGTACGTCCCCAGTAAAATGGCAACATGGGGCGAGCCAGGCACTGGCCTTGACATCCCACAGGGTTACAGGGCAACCCTAGCCCAGAGCAAACTAAGGAATGGCTCAGGCCGTCCACTCCTTCCAGCCTCTGTCTGTACCAGCTGTGTCTCAGCCTGGAGGAGCACCACTACCCCAGTGATAATCCTGCCTCCAGGGTTTGGGAAGGAACCCACTGAGACAATAAGGAAGAACCTTACCAACATACAGAAATGCACAAACCACGATGGCTGCCTCCCCTCCCCTGTCCCATTTCCAACTGTCTGAGGAGCCACGTGGGGAGGCGCCCAGCTCTGCATTTACTCCTGTGGGACATTATCCTCTGAGTCAACAGCACCTCCCAGAGAGAGGAAGTGTGAACAGTCCACTGGCAGCCGTCACACAGCCCCACTGTCTTCCGGACCCGGTGCAAATGCCAATTCTTGTCGGGTCGCTTGGTCACTTGTCTGTCCCTGGAAGAAAGGCTGGTACCTGAATACCTCTGAGGTCTCCCTGGCTGAGCACGTAGGAGATGCTCACTCACACTCATTCAGCCACCAGTCACTTTTTAAAGGAAACTCTCGCCCCTCTCTCTGTCCCCACCGCCCACCTCCTAAGTAAGGCATTTTTCCTCAATCTCATCCCAAGGCAGACAGATGGAATCCGCAACCCCACCTGGCTGAATGCTTGAGACCGAGCAGGACCCTATGGGCCTTCTGGGCACAGAAGCCTATGTCCCCCGTTTCTTGTTTGTAGGGAACAGACTCCAGCCTCCATGACCTTCCCTGAGTCCCAAAGGGCAGATTCAAACAGTTGTTAATCAGGGAAGGGAAGGGATGCAGAGACAAGGGAGGAACAGCCAAGAAACAATAGTGCAGCCTTGGGGCAGGGTCCTGGGTCCCCTTCAAGGGAAACACATAACAATATCTTTGAGCTCTTTACAGAACTAAAACCCAACAGATGGGAAATGTCAGCGTTCTTCATTCCAGAAAAGACCACCTGAGCCCAGATTAAAGGAACCAGAGAAGCTCATCAAGAAGATTACCTGAGGGCTTCCCTAGTGGCGTAGTGGTTGAAAGTCCGCCTGCGGATGCGGGGGACGCGGGTTCGTGCCCCGGTCCGGGAGGATCCCACATGCCGCGGAGCGGCTGGGCCCGTGAGCCATGGCCGCTGAGCCTGCGCGTCCGGAACCTGTGCTCCACAACGGGAGAGGCCGCAGCAGTGAGAGGCCTGCGTACCGCAAAAAAAAAAAAAGAAGATTACCTGAAACAAAAGTAAAGGGGTGCAGGCCCTGCACACACCCTAGTCTTGTCAGCCACCCCACCCTTGAACCATTGCTATAAAACTCCTCACCAAATGCTCCTGGGTGGAGGGTTTTCGAGGGCGGGAGCCGGCTGTGTCTCCCTTTGCCTGGCAAAGCAATAAAGCTATGCTTTTCTACTTCACCCAAAACTCTGTCTCCGAGATTCGATTTGGCACTGGTGCGCAGAAGCCAAGTTTTGGGCAACACGCTCTCATCAGCTCAGGATCTGGCCAGTCAGGAACCCCCCCCCCGCCCCCCACCGCCCAGTAGGCCTGGGTGTCAGGAGGCCAAGCTCTAGGTTCGATTTGCTGCCTGTGTGACCTGGGTCCATCTCTCTCCCTCTCTGGGCTTCAGCCTCCCCATGTGAAAGGAGGGGCCTGGTCCAGTCTAGGGGCTTTCAAACTAAGCTTCAAGGTTCCCTGAGGTGTCCCAGAGACCGAATGGGGTAGAAGGCAGATGGGGAGTAAAGAGGGGACCAGGCTGGTTCAGGGCCCCCATCCAACTTCAACCAGAGCAGCCCCTCAGTATAAATTGGGGTCCCCCATGGGATTTTCATTCTGGCTGCTTCAAAGCAGATTGGGAACCTCTGGCCTGGCTCACCTCTGAGGCCGAGGTCAGCAGGACTCATCTGTTGGCTAAAACACGTTTACTCCTTTCTTTAGCAAAGGTCCAGTGAGCCCCTTCCCTGTCAGGAGGCCAGGTTCCCCACAGGGGCCTCCTCCCCGGGCCAGCCCACATCCTTCCTGGAGACGACCTACCACCCTGAGGAGGGCTCCGGGCCAGCCTTGCTCCCGCTGTCCCTGACTTCTGCAGGGCTTGAGTCACTGTGCCAGGGTCCCGGCCTTCCTCCTAAAGCCACCAGAGATGGACCGGAGTGTGCCTCCCACCTCACGCGAGAATTACAGCTGGGGGCCTGGAGTGCGGAGAGACCCAGGCTGCCACCAGTGTGCCCACAGTCGCCTCGGGAGTGGACTGGGGACTTATCCTTTAATTTCTTATTTTTTTGGCTGTGTGGTGAGGCATGTGGGATCCTAGTTCCCCAACCAAGGATCGAACCCACGCCCCCCTCACCACCACCCCCCCACAGTGGAAGCACAGAGTCTTAACCACTGGATGGCCAGGGAAGTACCTTCCTCCTTATCATTCAGATCACAGCTGAAATGTCACTTCCTGGGTGAGCCCCTCCCTGACCTTTCTGACGAGGGCAGGCTCTACTGGCATATGATAGGTGTGCACAGATGTTTAATGAGTGATTAAGGGGGCTGCTCTGTGTGGAGGAGGTCAACACACTGCGGGGGGTCATAAGTGTTCAAGCAAAGAGGTGAGGAGGAGGTGGCGGCGGGAGGAAGATGATGAACAAAGGCCCCTCTCACCAGGCGGGGCCAAACCAGCGTGGGGGAGGGGACAGGCCAGGCTTTCCAACAGCTCAGCCCCCATGTTCTCCAAACCACCAGCCGCTGATGTGAGAGAGCTGGCCTCTCTTAGGCTCGGTGTGTCGTCCTCCGTGCGCCAGACCTTGCAGCTGAAAGACAAAGTCAGGGCCCAAAGCTGAAAGGGGAGGCTAGGCAGGACCCAGATGAGGGGCTGGGTGAAGGGCAGAGGATGGAAGGGAGGAGGCGGGGAGCGGGGAGCAGTGGCCTGGCATAGCCTCTCCCGTCCCAGAGCTCAACCCTCATTGTGCCAGGGGCCCCAGTGACAGAGGAAGGCCCCCGCTCCCTGCACTCCTGAACCTGTGAGAGGCAAGTCCTTGTAAATCTGGGAGGTCAGGCTGAAACAGGGCAAGGTCTGCCCACTTCATAGAGAAGGAAAGGAAGGAATTATGTATAGCATGTGTATGTATACGAAAGGCGTTTTTCTGAAGACAGGGCTTAGCTTTCATCACTCACCGCAACAGGTTAAAACCACTGCCATTAAGTGATATTTTCATTGTATTACACTCTCCCATCTCTGAAAGATGGAGAGACAATATCCTGAAGACAACATTCCAGTCCCTGGATCCAACTATACCTGAAACCAGTACTACCCCTGGGCTTTTCAATTACAGGAGCCAATATAGTCCTTTTTTTTTTTCTTTTTCTTTCTTTCTTTCTTTTTTTTTTCTTTGCTGAAGCTCAGTTCATAGGCCTAAACTCATCTGTAAATAAGAGCCCTAACGACGACTCCATCTTTCTTCACTCCTGTCCCCCCTCTTTTTCTTCCCCTTGGGTAGCACCCTACCTTGCCCAAGCACCAGACTGGCTAAGCTCACATACCCAGGAGAACACATGCAAGGGCACACATGAGCAGGCCCACGTAGGGAAGTACTCACACAGGCAGAGCCTGGGAAAGCCCAGCCACCCATGCACACACGCAAACACAGACACACAGCTGCACGGAGAGGGGCAGGCTCTTCTTCCTACTCACATATTTGTGGTCAACAAGTCCCTCTCAGGGAGATGGAAGCGCGTTTCCACGGGGACGGGCTGGATCCAACCTGCTTGCGTTTTGGCCTGTCTTCTCATCTCAGTGGAAATTCCTGGGCAGAGTCCAGAGTTGGAGTTGGCTGGGCCTCCCACCTGGCTTTGTCCAGCACGGTCTCCAGAGCCCAGGGCCACGGCTGGGGCAGGGACCCTGGCCTCTCTCAGGGAAAAGAGGAAACGGGGCAAGTGGGCCTCACTCTAGGCCTGGCCTGCGGAGCTCCTGCCTCATAACTGAATCTGCCTTCCTCCTCAATGACGCCTTCCTCTCCACTCTTTCCTGCTCCCAAACAGGCCCACCTCTTCCAGGAAGCTCAGCTTTATTACTCTCACTCTCCCCTTATCCCCTCCAGGGGCCTCCTTTTCCACCTGCCATCAGTGCTACTCAGTTTTTTGGATCATATGTTTGATCATATGTTTTATCGTTCGTTTTGCATCTTACACAGTCTCCCTTTCCTCACTGGATCAGTAATTATAACAGCAACCTATTTTCCTCAGCTTGAAGATAAGGAAAGCAGTGTAGTGCCATAAATAATAAAAGTGTTTCAGGTCTAAGTGGTCTTGAAAACAAAACAAAATCGCAGCTTGCCCTTTGGTTCCATGGCTTTTTAACTGACACCTAAGCAACGGTGTGCAGTCAATGGACAAAGCCTTTAACATTTCAGTCCTCAAACTAAACATTAAACTTATCTGACAGGATTGACAACATCTCCTTAATAATTAATCATACACACTCAGGACAAAATCCTTTACGATGCATAAACACTTCCTGGTAATACAGAGGCGGAGTTACCAGCACATGCTGGTTGTTTTGGAAGTTTGGGAACCAAGATGGATGAAGGGTGGGGGGTACCCCTTCTCTTTAAAAACATTTTTTTTTGTCATTCTGATTACCAAAGTATTACACATGCATCAGCAAACATTTAAACATTATAGAAATATACAAAACACAGGAAGTTAAAAATCCCTCTAATCTGAGCCTTCCAGATATGACCACCACTGAGCTTGTGGAATTTTTCTCCAGACATTTTTCATAAGTGAATACTCTTTTGGGTTATTCATTTTACAAAAGAGACTTATACTATACCAGCTTTTTTGCAATTTGCTCTTTTGGGTGGAGATCCACACTGTGCCCCACTCACTCTGTTGGAGGCTTGTGTGCTGCCTTGATTATAAACTAAACGTTTGTGGCATCATCTGGTTCATCCTGAGCAGAACACCTGCCACCATGGGCAGCCTCCACAGGGATGGGCTTGCAGCTGCCCTGGCAGGGGGCCTCATCAAGCCCCAGTGAAGGGCAGACGGGACTGTACCTGCTTCCCTGCCTCTGCCCACTTCTAACCTCTTCCTCCCCTCCTTCCCCCCTTTCCTGCTCCCTCTCCCCTCCCCTTCCCCCCTCCTCCATCCTCTCCTCTCTCCTCCCCCTCCTCTCTTGGTGCCCAGAGAGAAGCCAGGAGGCACAACACATCCAGGAGGAGCCAAACTTGTTCCAAAACATTCCCTACGCTGCACCTTAGAGCCTTGACATCTTCGTGTGCCCTGATCTCTCAAACAAGGATTTAATAGGCTGTGTGTCTTGAAATGAACCCGGAGCTTAGAGCCCAAAGGTCTAGATTCAGTCCTGGCTCTGAAAGTTAACTGGTTTCCTCATCTGTAAAACGCGAGGTAATAGTATGCACCTCATAAATAAATATTGATGGGGATTAAATGAGCGAATGCAGGTGAGGTGTTTGGCAGAGAGGCTGGCACCATCAGGCTGGCCGGTGTCATCGCTGTCACAGGTCCCATCTCAGGGCTGTCTGGACACACTGCTCCCCTCCTCCAGGCCAGGAGACCCTGTGTTGCTCCCCTGCTCCTGCCCTGAAGGAGGGGCAGTCAACAGCGATCCTGGCCCCCAGAAACCAAGTGCTCTTTTCAGGTGGAATTTGGCTGAGAGCCACAGGCTGGGCGGTTGGGAGGCTGGGTGGGTTGGGATGAGCCCCCAGGGAAAGAACAAGAGCTGGAGGACTTCATGGGTCCTGGCTGTGGCCCATCCAGCTGCGTGACCTTGGCGTGTCACTTGACTCCCTGTGACCTGTTTCCTGAGGAGATGATCTCACTGGGGTGGTACAGTGAGGCCTGGAACTGAGCCAGGGCTGGGGTGCTAGATCCAGAGCAGGGCGAGGCAAGGAATATATATATATCTAATGACACAGACTTCTCACAGTTGCAGCATCTGAACTTGTTGTATAAAAAGGAAATCTGTAAATCTATAACTTGGCAACATTTTACAACGCTGTATATTAAAGATGGCTTTCTCAAGAAATCCAGAACCACACAGCCCTATGGTCAAACACTTGTGACATTTGTGCCTCTGCTTTTAAAGGTGCTGTGATGGACAGCTGGCATGCCAGGGTTCGAGAAGAGTGGATGGTTTGAAGTGCTTGCCTTTGCCTGTGCAAAATCAAGTGGCTGCCTCTGTTCCTATTTTACTGTAGATTTGATAGTGTCTGTTCCTGTTCCATTCTCCAGGGAGCTTCTCTGTAGACTAACAGCACCACCCACCAAGTGGTGGAGATGCTGGTGTCTGGGTAGTCGTGGTTTTCTGTTGGACATTTGAATGTGATAAACAATCCAGCATCACTGGGGAAATACTACATGTGGAATGTGCACGTTTCCAGGGGGCGAACATTGTCAGTCAAGAGGTTTGCAATGATTTCCTTCCTGCCAAAAATAAATGTGAAACTGCAAACAAAAAAAAAGGCCTGCACGTTGCTATATATATATATATATATATAGCAGTGTGTGTGTGTTTGTGTGTGTGTGTGTGTGTGTGTGTGTGTGTGTGTGTATCATGTATCTTTCCCCCCTTCCAATCAAAACAAAACAGAAGCACTTAGAAGGATTTATAATGAGGAGGCTGCTCCACCTCTCCCATCCCTGTCCCACTCCTCAGAGGCAACCCCTTACCTGTTTCTGGCTTCAGTTCTCTGGGGCCACTCCTGTTTCAGGGGAATTCTTGGTCTGAGTGGTAGAGAGTCCCTTCTCCTTGCCATACTCTGATATAATGAAGAGGATATTTTTACAAGGGGTGAGTGAAACATTCAGAACTGTAAGAGGCAGACCTCGTCAGAAGGGACGTTCAACAGTCCCCTTATTTTCTTCTCACAGTTTTGCCTGCTCTCACCTCTTGGCTCTTCACAGATAAGGCCTTTTTCATCACACCTAGTCATGAGTCCAAGCAGTGACTAAAAAGAGAGGCTCCTCCCTGGTCAAGTTCCGTAAGCATGAGCTTGTCATTCCTCTTTCCTAAACCTGCTTCTCTCTCTCTTACACCTGGGCGGTTAGCAGAAAGGACATTCAATACAATGGTTCCTTTCTCATTTGGGGCATTGGAAGATGGGATCCCTATAGTCCTAGAAGAAATATGCTAAACTAGAAAGAGTGTACAAATTCTGATGACACAGAGCAAAATACAAAAACTGAAGAAAGGGGACTTCTCTGGTGGCGCAGTGGTTAAAGAATCCGCCTGCCAATGCAGGGAACACGGGTTTGAGTCCTGGTCTGGGAAGATCCCACATGCCGCAGAGCAGCTAAGCCCGTGCGCCACAATTACTGAGCCTGCGTGCCTAGAGCCCATGCTCCGCAACAAGAGAAGCCACTGCAATGAGAAGCCCACGCACCGCAACGAAGAGTAGCCCCAGCTCGCCGCAACTAGAGAAAGCCCGCGTGCAGCAACGAAGACCCAACGCAGCCAAAAATAAATAAATTTATTTTTTAAAAAAAACTGAGGAAATATCTTAGACGCGTATGCCCTCTGCTTGTAACTCTTACACACTTTCCGTAAGAAGGGACCCTCACGAGACTGAGAGCACAGTGCTCTTCTAGCACCTATACAGCAAGTCCAGGTGTTCACAGAGGAAGGAAATACTCCAAACACCCAAAACGCCAAACTCCCCTGCCCCAGCTTACTTGCCGTGACTATCCCAGCGTCTCCTGCTAGAGTCCACCCCTTGACCCTTTCTATTCATTGGGAACAGATGGGCACAAACGGCCATTATCCAGTACAAGATGAAAGAATGGGTCTGGGGGTTCATCTATCTCAGCAACAGTGAAGGGCTGGTAAAGTAAGACGCCTGGTCCCATGCCCATGAGGGCCCATGGCCACCAGGCAGGGGGATTTTCCCCAAACAGCTAAGAGATCTCTCTTTCCAAATATTTAACTGGCTGCTACATTGTGAAGTGTATTTCCCTTGTCTCTGTTTTCGTTTTACCTTCTATCCCTCCTGCCTTTCCATCTCATATTAGCTTTTTATATAATGAGAGGTTGAGATGCTTCCTTTTTCAGTTTGAAGCAGGTTAAGATGTTCCACAAAGGTAGGTCTTAATTCACGTCATCCTGTGAAGGACGTGATTCAAGGATGATATCCGTGGCTTTTGTGGGTTTTATACCAAAGGCTATATCCTCCTCTGGGAGGCACAGTATTTCCTGCCAGCCATTGGCAGGGGCTGTGGGGCTGTTAATTTGGATCTCCATTGCCTTGTTGGCCCAGAGCCTGACACGGAGTCACAGTTGATAAGCTGGTTAATTATATAGGCAAAGATAGTTCCTTGATTGTTCCATTTTTTCCCTCTGTCGGGGCAGTGGTCTGATGTAGCACCCACTTAGAGCAAAGCCAGCTATTTTTATAAAAGTTTCCGTGAGGAGGGCTGTAGGCCTCCTGGGAGGAGCCGCTCAAATGAATCTACCACAGACCAGTAGTGTCACAGGGGAGGTGCTGACAAATGGGCATCACAAGTTAAATACAATGGTCAGGAAGAACAAAAATGAACGCCTCTGAGGGTCACATCTAGACACTGAGACTGTCCAGGTGCTTGCTTCCCTCCACCCAGGTGGGCTTCCACCAGTAACATCGTGCCTCAGGACGCAAGGCACGGTCTCCTCTCCGACTGGCACCAACTCTCCTTCCTGCATGGGCCTGCCAAGCCTGTATCATGCCCCGCTGTGCGACACTGCTTTCCATGCCACTGTGCCTTAGGAGCAAGGTTCCCTCTTCCAAAGGCTGTGTCCCAGTCCCTTCACTTCTCTGCCTGTTGGGGTTCGTGGAGAGCCTGACCCAGCCCAGGGGCTAATCACGGACCAGCCTGTGGGTCAGGAGGCAGTACTGATTTTTTCTCACGGGACGAGAGCTGGGCAGGATGGATTCTGGGCCCATACTTAGACCTAATGGCTGTGAATTGTATTCTCTAGTCAGACTCCACGAAACCAGGGATACTGTGTCTCTGAGCAACTTCCTGAGTAAGACCCAGCACAAATTCCACAGGGGTTGATTTAATGGGCACTCAGCCACATAATCTGAATAATTTGACTCCAACTGCTCCAAGAATATACATTTTGCCCTGTTAGAAAACAAGAGCCCTAATGAAATTTCTCTGCCAGTGACACAGTCTACACAGTAGGACACCTGATGCATCTTAAGCAGATTCCTTGGCCTGAGATGGGGATTCTCGTTCGAGTTATTTACTCCGTACATCATGCATGAAGGTCTTTCATCTTCACGCGTGATGCATCCCCTGAGGCTGAGTAGACAGTAGCTGCTATCTCTCGCTGCCCTTTGGAAATAATAGGAAAGAGCCATCTCTGAACCACATCAGTTCTGAGGTCTGAGGACAGTGCCTCGTGGATTCCAGGACCTCTGGGTGTCAGTAGGGGATGCCTCTATTAGAAAAAGGAACAACAGGCACAAAATGGAGTCACTTGTCCCTAGGAGAGCAAACCAAGACTCTACTATAGTTTCAGCCACTCCCAGGACTGCAACCTTTAACCAGTCAGTCTGGAATTACCTGATGAGCACAGTGAGGTCATCTCACCTGCATGATAGACTTCCCCTTTTCCCCCAAGGGAAGGTGACCTTGCCTGAAATAATCCGTTCTTTCCTTTATGACTTTATGGTCCCACCCTCCTTCTGCCTTTAAAAACCTTCCACTTTGTACACCTCCTCAGAGCTCCTTTCTATTGATACTTGCCAGATGCGATGCTGCCCAATTCGTGAATAAGGCCAATTAGATCTTTACTCAGCTGAATTTTCTTAACACTCCTACCTAGAGCTAGCTCCAATCACTCACGTGCATCTCAGTTCCAAGGGCTTAAGCAAAAAGCCCAAGCTCACATGGCTAGTAGAGGTGGATTTGAACTGAGGTGTGTCTGTTCTCAGCTCAAACAACCTTCTGATAATTTGGCTTCCCTTGAAGTTCTCCTTTCAGAAGAAGGGAAGAATTCCCTTGTCAGGTAAAGTGTCCAGTCTTCTGGATGGTTACATGTCTCATAAAAAATTAGCAAGGTGGGTTTTTAGTGTGAAAATTCCATTTCCTTGTACGTTTAATGAATGAAACAGGCTCCCTGAGTGTGATCAGCTCAGGGGTACTGACAACATCAAGGTACAAAACTGAGACCCAGACCCCGTCCCACACAACACTGTTGGTCTGCCAGTAACCAGAATCCACAGTCAACATAACCCAGGGGATAAGAGGCAGAATCAAATCAGGAAAAAGAAGAGTTACTCCCAGAAGAAACTTTATGAGCTAGCTAATATACATTGCCAAAAAATATAGGGGAAATTTATGGAAACTTTTTAAGGCTGTTTGACCAAGATAGCGGAACAGAATTTTGATTCAGGTTTTGTTTATTGATATGTTCTCACTCACCAGAGATTCTATAGAAGCTCATATAGCCAGATACAGTTCTTACCATTTGTGCAGGGGGAGGGGGGCTATAGATGAGGGTGGATAATACAAATCTGGACTGAATACTGACCCATGCTAAATTATAACAAAAGACCAAAATTCCAAGAAAGGCAGGAACTCACAGACTTTAGGAAACAAGAATGCTTTATTGGGTCCCTGACATGCATCCAGCCCATCTGCCCTCTGGCCTCTGACATGACCCAGAAGATGGTCTCACTCCCTGCCATGAGAAATTGGCGAGGCTCTGCTGGCTTTCCTCTCTAGGCCTGGAATTCTGGTTGGAAGAGCTCCTATGAAATGAACTTCCTGCTCTCAGCAGCAGAGATAGACAGAAGGAACACAGTAGAGGAGTTATCATAATGGACGTGGGCGTGGAAACCAAACCTCTAGCTGTGGTTAATTAATCATTGGGCCCCAGGAATGAAAAAGACCAGACAGTGCCTAAGATATCAGCTAGTTACTACTGTAACCAAAGGTTTCTGGTTGGGCAAAGAGGTCTGTCTCAGCTGCCAAGGTAGAGTCAAAATCTCCCACTTAATTTCCAGACTTTCAAGGGAGAGGAAGTCAAATATCTTTGAAGAAAAACCTTATTTTAACACTTAGATGCATATTGTTAACCTTCCTTGCAACCTTCCCCAAAGGGATCTGTGTTCACTTATCTGGGAACGGAAAGGAAAGGAAAGTACTCAGACTTGGGGAGAGGGGTTTTGTAGGACACTGGCTCCAAGCCAAGCCCAATTTCTGGGTACAGTAGAAGAGCATGTGGTCTCCCAATCCATAGAGATGTTTAATAGACTAAATTTTGCGCCACAGTAGACCCAGTGGAATCTCAAAGCCAATGAAAGGTTATTTTGAGTGTACAGTTGAAATGGATATATTCTGAAACACGCATAACCCCCACGATGGCTCTGATTAGTGGGGTAAGAATGACTATAATAGGATAGGAGAAGCACAGGCCATCAGAATTCCCGCTCCCGACCGAAATGGTAAATCAAAAGTGCTTCCGTATTTGTGAGGGAATTGTAGAAATCAGTGTTACTATCAGATTTAAGAGTGAAGTCATAGTGATTCCTACCACAGCTCAGCCTGGCCAGCAGGTCTTTGGATTGTTGTAAGCTTTAAAACGTGTTAACTCCAATTGCAGGTGCTGTTCCAGAAATGGTCTTCTTGCTAAAGCAAATTCATCCAGCTCTTGGCATTTGGTATGAACCCTTTGATCCAGTGAATTCATTTTTTTCCTTGATTTTGATGAGCAAAGAACATCAGAAGCAATTTGTCTTCAGCTGGCAGGGCAGCAGTACTCCACTGCTGTCCTGCTGAATGATATATATTATCTTAGCTGTTCAGCTCTGTGCCACAGACTGCCTCACAGGGACATTGACCTCAGCAATGCAATGTTCCAGCACGCTGATGGCATCATGCTGATAGGGTCTGGAGATCAACAGTTTCCCTAGATGCTTTGGTAAGACATATATATGTGAGTCAGAGGTGGGAGATAAAGCATGTGAAAATGCAAATGTCTGTTCCTTGAATAAAGTTCCTGGGGATCAAGGGGTCTGTTGAGGTCAGAATAGTTCCTCCATTAACGTAGGACAAATTCCTGCATTTTGAATTCCTTACCACTAAGGCCCAATTCCAGGCAAAATTGTCAGTTTGTTTGGGGCATCTTGCTCCAACCCGTTTACTGACTGACCCAGAAGACTGCCAGCTTTGGGCAGGGCGCAGAGCAAGTGAAGGCTCTCCAGCAGGAAAAGCCTTGAGCACGTATGATTCTGCCACGAGGCCACATGACCTGGCAGAGCCAGTGGTGCTTGAGGGGTCCGTCTGTGGCATATTGGGGAGGCACATGGAGATTGTGACAAGTCTTGATTTAAAAAATATGGCAGGAGGGGGTGGGATAGGAAGGGTAGGAGGGAGGGAGACGCAAGAGGGAAGAGATATGGGGACATACGTATAACTGATTCACTTTGTTATACAGCAGAAACTAACACAACAATGTAAAGTAATTATACTGTAATAAAGATGTTAAAAAATTAAAAATAAAAAAAATTTAAAATATGGCAGGAGAACCCAGAGTTTGGAATCAAGTGATACGCTGGCCAGCAAGTAACTATTATCCTTTTGACACACAGCCCTCTGACTTGCCACTGGGCTCTGGGGAGTCTAACTGCTTGGCCACAGCCTACCAGGTGGCCATGCTGGCCCTTACGAACAGGGGTTGTCGGATCCACCCAGCCAAAATCAGGCATGGCCACCATCATTAGGTGAATGCTCCAGGAGAGGGTTCTGGAGGCACAGGCAAGCTGTGTGTGGGCATCACTCACTCTCCCATAATGCCTCCTCCTGCCCTACGGCTGAGCTCACCTCAGTCTACACTTATGCTACGGCTTTAACAGGGCAGTAACTTATCTTGACCATGAGGGGCCCTTCTTCTGGATTTGGATTTGCTTTCCTTACCCATCATGCCTCTCCCATCAAAATCCATGGAATTGGGCTTCCCTGGTGGCGCAGTGGTTGAGAGTCTGCCTGCCGATGCAGGGGACACGGGTTCGTGCTCCGGTCCGGGAAGATCCCACATGCCGCGGAGCGGCTGGGCCCGTGAGCCGTGGCCACTGAGCCTGCGCGTCGGGAGCCCGTGCTCCGTAATGGGAGAGGCCACAACAGTGAGAGGCCCGCGTACAGCAAAAAAAAAAAAAAAAATCCATGGAATTATCAACTGTTGTAAACAGCATTTCGGTATCCCCACATATTGCATTCAACCAGGGAATACACTTTATAGCAAAGTAATGGGTTGATGCCTATGACCTTTGCTCATCTTTTCAGGATCCCCACAGTCTAGAAGCAGTTAGCTTGATAATATGGTGAAACGGTTTGTTGAAAACTCAGCTACGGCACCAGCTGAAAACAATACCTTGCAAGGCTGGGTAAGGCCTGCAAGATGTAGCATAAGCTCCAAACCGGCAACCAGTTCATGGTGCTATTTCTCCTACAGGCCAGGAAGCAGGGTGAAGAGGGGCATGTTATCACGACATCTCAATGCGTTTCTCATATCTGAGGTTGAGGACCAGACTGGTGTAGAGGTTTTAGTTCCCAAGAAAACACCTCTTCAAAAATTCATAGTAATGATTCAAGTGAATTAGAAGCCTAGGCACCTGGCCGTCTCAGGTTGCTTGTACCTCTGAGCCACACAGAGCTAGGATAGGAGTATATCTAGGATACGAGTAAATATAGTGACACGTAGGAGTAGCTGGGATGATTAACTCTATCAAGGGAAAATATGATTGCGGCTACTTAAAAGGGGGCAGGGTACAGATGGACGTGGGGGGTTCCTAAAGTGCTTCCTGGTACTGCCATGTCCAGTGGCTAATGCTTGCCACACAGGCAGGACCGCTTAGGAACTCGACTTTGGAACTGAAGATTTGGGTCACTCCAAAGGGCAAAAAAATCCCTAGTCATAAATACTAGTTCTCATGACCAGTTATAGAAATGGACCGTAGCCTTTACTCATACTTCCCTTCTTGTTGGGTTATATAATTTCCACAGGTTGCAGAATTTCAAAAGGAGATTGTGATAAAAGAGGAAAGAGTATCATTAGTGACACTGGACTTTGGAGAATGGTAGCCCTGGTCATTACCCCTGGACTTAGTCATTGACTATTACCTTGAATGGTCTCCCCAAGCAGAGAGCGATTTGCTTTTGGTTGTATGTAAGAGAGTTGTAGTGCATCAGATGGGAAGAAAGGGGTGTGTGTGTGTGTGTGTGTGTGTGTGTCTGTGTGTCTGTGTGTCTGTGTGTATCTGTGTGTGTCAGGGTATCTTCTGTGGTTGCCTGCCAAGCCCTTTCTACCCTTCCACCCTCCACCATTCTTCTGGTAAGAATCCCCATCCTTTGGAAAACTACCTCTCTCCCAGTCCACGATGCCCGGAGCTCCAGGACAGGAATTTGAACCTTGAGTGGAGGGAGATCCACTGGAGCCAACGGCAGCAGCTCCTGGGAGGCAAGCTCTGGAGCTACCCTGGCTCCTGCCCTTCTAAAGGCCAACTGTTCAGCTATTCCTTTGGTTCTGTGAACTACCCCCAACACCCTTCCCATGAAGGTCCAAGTCCATTTCTGTTGCTCAAAACCCAAGAAACCTAACGGAAAGCACCTCTTTTGAGACCACCTCATGCATCTTTGCCTCCCAGCAGTGGTCAGCTCAGGGTCTGGCATAAAGTAAGTCTGCTCAGTATGTCTGCCGAATGAATGGATGAATGAATAAACAAATCAACAATATTCCAGCTCTCGGTTCACCACGGCAATCTGGATATGCAGGCTGGGAGAGTTGGGAGCAAGAGGAAAAAGTGGGCAGAGTCACCTGAGCACAAGAGGAGGTAGAGAAGTCAGAAATGTCAAATGGAGGGGGGTAAAGGTCAGGCAAGGAAAGGCCTGGGTGATGGGGTGGGGCTGGGAATGAGAAGCCTCTGCAGCTTGGGAGGCAGGAAACAGTCAGTGAGTAGCTGAGAGGCAGGAGCTGGTCTTCCCCCGGGCTGGTCTTGCCCCAGTGGAGGCAGCCAAAGACACTGGGCGTTTCCCCAGAGCCCCAGCTCTGCTCTTCCTTCCTGGGTTCCTTCCTCTGCATTCCTCTTCCAAATGAATGAGCAATTCCAAAGGCCTAAGCGCCCTCGTAAGGGGCACAAGCCATCATTCCATTAGTACAAGCAGCACAGACTGTCTAGCTGCGGCCACAGAAGGCTGAGGCTGAATGCCAATCTAGGATCCAAAACATGGATTCACTTTTCCAGTGGGTCCAGGGACTGCAGGACGCCTTCAGAGAACCGCCTGGGGAGACGGGACCCTGACCCCATATACCTACAACCACACCAGATAAGGGCGAGCAAGATACACAGTTGCTGCCTTTATTGCATTCCAAGGGGAGCAGGCTAGCTCGAGACCCACCCCATCCCAGGCCTCAAGGAAGGGTTCTCAGGAAGGGCCCAGGGTGCTGGGCCGAGCACAGCAAATCCTTGGGAGCCTATATTGAGGCCCAGAGCTGGAGTCCCAGGGTCAAGAGCTAATGGTTAGGGGCAGGGGGTCCTAATTCCCAGGCACAGAGACACTCCTCCACCCTGCACATGGGTGGACTGCATTCTTCCCACAGCTCCCAGGTGCACGCCCTCTGGAGAAGAGTCCCAGCCCTCTATCCCTGGTCAAGAGGGGATGTGAAATTCACTGTGACCCCACCTCGTTTCAGTATGAAGCACAAGGTCCCACAAAGTCAACACCTTCCGTCTGGCCACAGCTGCTGATGCAACCCTCATGCCAGCTCTCACCTCACGGGCAGAGGGCCTGGGAGAAGTAGGGGAGGAGTGTCCTGGGGTGGGCTGAGAGGCCAGAGGGTCTGCTCTTCACCTAGGTATGGTGGGTAGGGTGGGGGTCAGGCTAGGGAAGCCCTCGGGTAGGGGAACAAACAGAACTCAGTGAAAGGCAGGCAGCAGGCTGCAATTGGGCTCAAAGCCAGGGATGGGGGATGGGGTGCAAGGGAGCATGGTAGGCAGGTGATTGAGTGCCTGAGTGATGGGGGAAGGAAGAGCATGAACACACATCACCAAAGACCACTGCACAAGGATATGACAGTCTCTGGAAGGGCCCTGAGCACCATTCGGGCTCAGGGACAGGTTAGTTGCAAGATAAGCTGGGATGAATGACGCAAAATGACTGGAAGGAAAAGACACCCTGAGAGTCACCAGGCCAGACACCGCAGAGGAAGTCTGGAGCCCTGAGGATAGGGAGGGATCAGGGCCAAGTGAAGGGAAAAGGGTAGGTGCTGGCCTGCGTGCCCCCAGAGTGCAACATTCACGGCAGGGCCTGGGGCAAGGGGTTGGTTGCAGAACTCATGCAGAGGACTCAGGGAGCCTCCAGCAGTGGCCAGTGTAAACTTCAAGGAGGGCTAGGCTGCAGGCCCCGGGAGGTAGGGCCTGGGAGCCGCGGGGACGATGGCACCAGGAGAGGCCACCAGGCTGGGTGTCAGGCACCAAGCATCTGATGAGGAGAGGCTGCGGGCAGAGGCCCCGAGGGGTGCCGCCTCAGTGCACCTGCTCCGGTCAGTCCCGTACTGGGAACGTCTCCATCGGTTCGAGCTGCTTCCTTGTCGGTCTGCTGCTGGGTGGAGGCCCCCAGCCTCCTGTGGGGGCTACCGCATGCCCTGGGCCTTGGAGCCTCCATCTCGGACGGGAGGCTGTCCGAGTAACTGGGTGGCGACTGCCTCTGAGGCCTGAGGGGTGGCCTTGGAGCTTGGGGCACTCTTCTGGGGACTGGGAGGGCCTTTCCTCTGGGGCTGAGGACTCAGCTGGGGGCCCCTCCTGCCGGCAGATGGACTCTTGGAGCCTTTGGCCTTGGCTTGGGGGTGGGCAGCCTCAGGGCCCTTGAGAGGTTTTAGCCCCAGCATCTCACAGAAGGTGTTGCACTGGTGGGAAGAGGCAAACTGGTCCAGCAGGGCAGGGAAACAGCTCTCCTTGAGGCCTTGGTATCTGCAGCCAAACAGTGAGAGCTGAGTAGGAGTCCCACCCAGAGAGAGAGTCCTTGGGGGGCAGACTGTGGGGTGGCCACAACCAGGGTGTGGTGCCCAAGGTCCATCCTACCTTACCTCGGGGTGCTGGGGAGTCCACCTGGGGCCACCTCAGACGGCAGCATCCGAAACCTCAACTCTAAACTGAGGTCTCATTACACCCTGGCCCATGGAGTTCATCGGGTGGGACGTCACTCGGTGTGAGGACCATCTGCCTTATTAACATAAATAAGAGCAGACTCCAGCTCACCACTCTACTCACAGGGCCCTGCTTATCTGCACCCTGATGAGCTTTCACAAGTGAGAAGGAAGGGGAGCAGGTACACTGAGAGCCCAGGATGTAGGTGGTCCTGTGCATGGGCGTCAAGAGCTACTGGTCCAGGTCTGGGGTCAGGGGCACAGCAGGTGGGGATCAGTGGCCCCTGAGACATTACTATATGGCCAGGGGTGCAAGTGAGACTCTCTGGTCACAGGTCTAGCACCTCAGGAATGGAGAACCAGAAGAACTTTGACATTTTCCACCCTGAGCAGACTCTCAGAGGGCATTCTGTCCCCAAGGAGCACTCACCCTCGCAGTTTGGTAGCAATCTGCACATCAGTCATTTTCCAGTTAACCCCTGAAAAGAGAGAGAGTGGGGAGTTGAGGGCATCCTGGGCTGGTTCTAGGGCCCCCATGTCTCCAAGATGGATATCACTTTAGATGGGAACTTGCCAGATTGCAGGGCACATCTTCAGGTACCCTCTCATTGGGCATCATCACCCTGGCCTGTCTCATGAGTGGTGTGGGTATCTCTGTATTATTAGTAGTAATAATATTCCCATTTTCACAGGTGAGGAGATAGGCTCAAAGTTAAGTGACTGCAGCAAAGTCACATTTATTCATTCATTTAATAATTGAACGCTGTCTGTGTGCAATGACCACCGTGAATCAAAGTTCAGTCTTTCTTACTCCTAGATCCAAAAGTCTTCCAGCTGTGCAATCCTGCCTCTACTGGATGAGATTAGGTCACAAACTGAGCTGGCCTCTGGCTTTGAGCTAAAACCTTCTCCTTCCTCATAACAGATTAGCCCATCTGGGCAAGAGGGAGAAAGGTGGAAATGTGAAGGTATTTCAGGGCTGGGCCAGCAGAAACGTTAACACTGGATAAGACTGGCTTCCACCTACTCATACAGTGCAGCAAGCACGCACTCCAAGAAGCCCAGATGGGCTCCTAGGTTAAGACAGCCTTGAAGAACAGATCCAGGCAAGTGGTGACAAAGGAGGCATTTCCCACCCCGTCCAGGTCACCCCAGCATCTTAGCATTCATGCGTCAGGTCTGTGACTCTCCTTCCCTGTTTGTACACTGTCCGGTTGCCTTCCTCCAGGAACCTACCTCTCACTAACAGGCCTGAGTACCCGTGGATGATAGAGTGGCACAAATGTGGGCTTGAGAACCAGGCACACCTGGATTTGCATTTCAGCTCTGTCACTTTGGAGCTGTGTGTGCTTGGCCAGTCACTTACTATCTCTAATCCTCAACAGTAAAAGTAGGGATAATGCTGCCCATCTTGCAGGGGAATTGAGAAGATCACAGTATGTGTAGGACTATAACTTAGTGTCTGAAACACAGTAGTTATGCAATAAATATTAATTTCTTTGTTATTTCTCTTTCAGCATTTATCACATTCCATTTTGCATTATAATAATGATGATCCCTTACACTTGCACAGAATTTTGGTTTGCAGAGGGCTTTCATAAATACAGTCTCATTTAATATTCTTAACAAGTCTGAGAGATAGGCAGGGAAGATATGGTTATTCCTAGAGAGGGAAAGGAAACAGAAGCTCGGAGAGATTAAATGACCTAACCTGTCTGAGCTTGTTTTCTTCTCTGTAAAACAGACACCCAGCTAGAAAATGATGAGACCTAGGCTTGAATTTCTTTGACTCTCAAGTCTTTCTACTATATTATGTTATCATCTCATTGTAGAAATTGGTATACTTATCATAGCTTCTTGAGGACAATGGCTATTCCTAATTCACCTTTTTATCTTCCCAATATTTAGTAATGTTGGAAGGAAGGAAGGAAGGAAGGAAGGAAGGAAAGAAGGAAGGAAAGAAAAATTTATGAGTTAACAAATAGAGTGAATGATAATGGTTTAATGTGTTACTAGCTCCCCTCCCTTCAATATATAGAGTTGTATATACAATATTTATTGTATTAATATTTATTCTTTAACCCCAATGCAAAGCACATTTAAGCCAGTTTTCTATCTCTGGCCCTTGGTTTTGTCACTTATTTACAGCAGGGATAAAATGTAATAGTGTGTGATATTCGCAGCATTCCAGTCCTCTCACTGTAGAGAGGATTTTATCTTTTCCTCTCCCCTGCCCTGTCTGGTTACAGAGAGTAGGCCTGGAGAGGAGTGGTCAAAGAAGGAAGGAGAATTCATGCTTGCTGGCCTTCCTTTGTTGGGGAGAATCTGAGTAATGGGAGAAATAGAAATAAACTAAAAAGAAGCAAGAGAGACTAAGTTTGTTTACATAATAAAAAGCTACCAAAGACAGAGGGGGGAGCAGGGAAGGAGGAGATTGCAAAGCTATGTGTGCAGGGATGGAAGAGAGAGGTTAGGAAGTTAGAGAGTAAGAAAGTTCACAGCAGAGCTGCAGGGAAGAAGGAAAGGGAGATTTTGTAAACGCGGTTGCGGGTTTGAATTAGATCCCATGGAACGGTCTTTGAAGTAAATTCCTTTTTAATTTTAAGTGAAGCCTGGAGTGTACTCCTTTAGATACAGCTGCAGTTATAGACTAGGCACCATGAGGCCCTGATACGTATTAGCGCTGCATACAAAGTGGTTCCTGTCCAGCACACTTTACAAGGTTACTGTGAAAGCAAAGGAGAATATGTGCAAAAGTGCGCTGCACACTAGTAAACGAGAACTGTGACTCTGCCCCTCCGCATGCTCTCCTGCACATGTACATGCACACCCCACACCCTCATACCTGCCAAATCTGTGACAAGGAAGCTGCCATTTGTCCACAGATACAGCCAGTGCTGGAAGGTCTGGCATTTCTGCACGGCCTCAGAGCTGCTAGATGCTGCTGGAGCCGCAGCAAAGCCCCATTCCCGGGAACAGTAAGACTCCATGGGCTTGCCCAGGTCCTCCTCCAGGGTAGCATATGGGATATTGTTTGCAGGCCGGTAGATCAGATACAGTGGGATGATCCTAAACATAGTGTCACCCTGCAGTGAGCAGGAAGTATGGCCCCAGAGAGCTCCTCCCTCCACCTCAATTCTACACTCTTGGATCCAAAAGGAAGGCCCTTCCAAGAACAGAACTCTCAGCTCTGAGCCTGGAGGACAGCAAGGAAGTGGGGGTTCCACCCTGAGTTCAGGAAAGGAAATGGTGGCCTCCTCCATTCTCTGAGGTCAGTGGGATTAGAACTGAACCCTGCTATAGCCCCAGGAGGCCTCTGTGCTTGAGTGAGGGACTAAGACCTGTAAGTGCCAAACAGAAAGGAATACCTCTGAGAGGATCCAACCAGACTGTGCTCAATGCCAGCTAGACCCTAATACTCAAGAGTTGAAGTTCCAAGTCTCAAAATGAAAACAGTTTCCATGTGTAGCTGACTCCTACAAAAATCCACACGGACCCTGCCCACCTACCACATTAGAATCCTGACCAGTTTGCCTGGAAGCTTTAGCCCACCCCATCACCTTCAGAGAGGCCCAGAACCTGCTGTGCCCAAACCCTGCGATCAGCAAAAACTGGGCAAAGGAGTGGGGAATTAGGGTGGGTGGGAGGAGACTGAAGACCAGAGCAGAAGCTTTTCTAAAGTGGGCAGTGAATCTTGAGGTCTTTATTTCTAGATTTTGTGGAACCACTGAGCTGAGCATGGGGTTAGCTGGGGGCCCATTTACACGTGACTATGACTCAGGAGGCCCCCAGGAGGCTGTGAAATCATGGTTCTCTGCAGAAGCTCAAGTCAACCGGTCTGCACACTGCACGGCCCCCTCCCTGTGCACTTACTCAGGCACGTCCCCAAAGCCAGGTGCAGCCCGGGCTTCAGCCGCAAAGATTTTGCAGTACTCTCGACTCATGTTCTGGATCTTGCACCCCTGTGGATGGAAGAGAAGCAACTCTGATCAGCAAGGAAGCATCCCGGTTCTCTGCCTGGCTCTTAGTGGGAAGGCCATCTGCTAGAGGCTGCAGGGAGGATTCCAGCCCTGGGGGAGGTGGGGTTCATTCCTACCCTCCTCCCTACTCTGTACCTCATTTTTCTCATTTGTAAAACAAGAGGCTCTGGACTTGTTTTCAAAGTGGTTTCCAAAGTGTGCTTCCTGGAGCCCTAGTGATAGATGGCAATGCCCCAGGGGCCCCACTGCAGGAGAGCAAGGTACCGACCCCGCCCAGTCACTCCCCTTTTAACTCCCAAATAAGGCTTCTGCGAAAGATATCTTTGAGGGCAGTGAAGAAAGTTTTCTGCTGAAAAATACAGTTTGAAAACTATGGCCCCAAAGATGTAGCCTGGACTACATCTCAGGCTCTCGTCGAGGTAAAGTTGAGACTAAGGTGGCTTCCTCCTCCATACTGGGCTTCCCAGTAGGACCCAGGCTGGGAAGGGGAGGGATGAGAGAGTGGAAGGATGGGGCAGGGGGATGGGACAGTACCTGGATGGTGACGTCATAGTTTCTGCCCAGGAGAGAAGTCTCACTGCTGGGCCCAAACACAAGCAGGCTGGACACCTTGATGATGCACGTGAGGCCTGACTCGAAGATGGGTTCCAGCCCGTAGATGACCTTGGCCTGGGAGGCCTTCCGAAGGCCACACCCGTGTCCACCACCTTGTAGCTCCTCGCTCACCAGGCGCCCAAAGAGCTTGTCCCCCCAGCAGCCAGTGTCAGCCAGACCCTTAGCAAACACCATGGGGGTCATCTCAATCTCTTCTCCAACTGAAGGGGAACAGGAGAAATGTGGAAAACTAGAAGCTCCCCCCCGACTGCTCTGGGACCCGTAGCACCCCACCACTCTGTCCATGACTTCTCTTTGGGTGTGCACTTGTGGGGGGCGCCCTATGAACTATGACCTCCAGAGGGCAGACACTGTATCTGGTAAAACCGCCGTCATTCAACAGTGCTCACGTGTGCAGAGTAAGGGCTCAGCCAGTGTCTGTGGAAGGCAGGGGTTTTCTGAGGAAGCAGCAATCAATACAGAATATCAGAATTACTTTGTTTAGAATTCACTGTTTTGATCAAATGAATAAATGACTCCATGTCAACCAACATGTTTGACTGAGACAAAAAGTTTGTGAGACAAATCCAGTAGCAGTGAGCACTCCTAGTGCTCAAATTGGGATCACTAAATACCATTTTCCACTAAAAGGAACCAGAACTCCCTAAAGAAATGGTTGATTCCGGGTCTAGGGCAGGAATTGTCCTAGACTGACCTGAAACATCTCTGGACCAGAAAGCAAGTAAGGTATCATAAACAATTGGCAACTTGTCAAAAGGACACAAGAGCCAACCTGAAGAGGCTTCTACTGGCAAAAAATGAGACAATCTTACCAACAACAACAGCAAAATAATTGCAAAGTATTGAACGTTCAAATGTGTTAAAAAGCCATACTTTCATAATTATAAGTAAAAAAAACCCTTCCCTCTGGAAAAAAAAAACCCTCATTCGTGACCTTTGGAGGATGTTAGGGCACCAACTCACTATTCTGAAATCTAATAAGAGCAAGGAGGAAAAGAAAGTATTTTTTCCTTCATTTTCTGTTGGACCTATATGTATCAGGATTACCAAAAACCATTTCTTCTTTTCCAAAAAATTTCAGCTAATGAATAAAGAAGAAATGACAGAATTAAAATACTCCATGTTGCAAACCTTAATGAAATAAAGGACTTAGGTGATAATCAGTGACTGCTAAAGCCCCTAGATGATGACAGGGGTTATATCAGATACAGTTTTTTAAAGTTTAAAAGGGATAGATCAGGCAGAAAACACCTGAATGAACCCAGGGATCATTCTTAACATTACTAAAACCGTCAGACATCACATGCCTCCAGATAGGATGCAAAGGAAATACACAGCACACCTGTGAAATGTTCACACACACACACCCCCAAAATTTGCACCTGAATTGGAGCAAGCATCTCAAGCTAATTACCAGTTTAGAGGAAGCACATCAATGAAGCAACATGTTAAATGGTGATATAATCAATAAAAATCCAAAATGTAAGAAATTCTTCAACAAATAAATGGCAAGGAGGGAAAACAAATGAGGGAGGAGGAACTATTATACATTTGATAGATTTAAGAGATTATGTTAGCCGAAAGCACGGAGTGGTTCCTAATTAAAATAAACCAACACTTATGAGAAAGTTGGGAAAATCTGATTGGATATTTGATGACAATTAAGTATTATTACTAAGTTTTTAGGCTTTTTTAGTTTTTAGGTGAGGTTATATTTGATATTGATTAAATCTGATTTGATAACTGAACAAAAGGCACTAGTTGAATGAATGAGTAAATAAGTGAATGAAGGAAAGAATTAAGGTATTAGTTGGCAAGTGAAGCTCTAGAAACCTTTCCATCACCAGCCGCCTTCACGGTCCTAATCCTTAGTGTGTCTTCTGCAGGAGCAATACATCTCTTCCCCTAATATTTGAGCCTTTAAAATGCTTATCAAACTTCGGGGTGTATCACAATCACCAGGGCATCTACTGACACGCAATTGTGTCAGGCCCTACCCCAGAGATTGTGATTAAGAGTATCTGCAGTAGGGCTCAAGTAACTGCATTTTCAGCAAGCTCCCTGTGTGACTCTAATGCAGGAGTCCACAGACCACTGTGAGAAAGGCCGGGGAGGGAGCTGGCAGGGTGACAAGTGGACAGTCCTGCTCTTGATCAAGGGCTCTGACATGGGCAAAGGGCACAGGCTGAATGAACTCCTTGTAGGACGTCCCCTTAGCCACCTCCTCCCCCCTCATCTTCTGAAACAGCTGTCCTCCCCCATCCTCCTCCACAAACCATATCCTAAACTAGGAGGCAAAGGGTGGCTGTATGTGGAGATAAACATGGCATTTAGAACAGATTCCAAGTCTTTAAAGAAGCCCCTGTAGATAGCAGGGTAGGGACACAGGCCCACCCATTCCTCTCCCTGAGGGGCACCTACCTTGACTTTCTTCTCTGGAGATGAATCCTGACAGCACTGTGTGGAGAAAGAGAAGAGAAAGCCGCTATCCTCAGGCAGGTCTGCCCACAGACAGCTCCGCCTCTGCAAAGACGACTGTTCCCCGCCCCACCCCCAGTGGGGGCCAGGCAGAGACCCTGGGGAGGGGGGGGCAGAGCTCACACTCACCCTCGGGGCTGAGGCAGAAGTCAGTGGAGGCCGAGCCGTGCTCATTGCGGATGGTGCATCGATACACGCCACAGTCTACGGGGGACGCCTGCACGATGGCCAGGGCCGCTGGCCCCTCATCCCCTGCACTGCAGACAGGAGACCCTCTCCGTGAGGCCATCACCATGGCACAGCCCAGGGCCACCCTGTGGTCCTGAGGCTTCGCAGATCCCGCTCTCAGAGAATGCTGTGAGCCCTGTCTCTGAGAGCTCTGGGAAGAGCAGGGCCTGCATCACACAGGTCAGGACTGCACTAGCTGTGTGACTTTGGGCAAGTGACTTAATACCTCTGAGCCTCAATGTTCTCCCCTTCACTATGGGAATACTAGAATCTCCCTCATAGGGTTCTTGTGAGGATTAAATGAGGAGGTATATCCAAAGTGCTGGGACAATCTCCCCCCCAGTATTGTTGCTACAGTTTATTAGGGAGCCAGGACAGGTGGAGGTGGTACCCAGCTGGCTTACCTCCTGCCCACCTCGCCCACTGGGCGCTGATCCTTGGCCCATGTCAAGACTGAGTCACTAAGAATGTTGAAAAACTGGCACCAGAGCTTCAGGCTGCCCGAGGCATCAGGAAACTGCTCCACCCGAATCTTCCGGATCACCTGTGGGGCTGGAAGCAGGGGCACAGTTGAGAGGAACAAGCCACTTCCCCTCCATCGTGTGCCCTCTCTGGCCCTACCCCTGCTTCCTTGGGTGTCCGTGGTGGCACAGGCTGAGAGAAGACAGGATTCAAGCCTCCACACAGCCCCCACTTGAGTCCCACCTGTATCTCTGAGGCTTCTGCCCTGACTTCAAAGCACACCTCTTAGCTAGAAAGAACATAGTACGGCACCTCCACTCCAGGCCAGGGAGAGCCTCACAGCTGAGGCCGCAGACAGCAGTCGAGAGAGGAACTTCAGTTTGCAGCCTAGGCTCCTAAACCTAAGACCCTGCATTTGAATCCTGTCCGTACCACTCTGTACTCGCGGGACAAGTCTGCAAAAAGGCGATTACGGTGGTGATGATGATGATAGAGCTAGGATACTATTGAAGCCAGGCCCTGTGCTGAGTACTTGATTTATTCTATCCCATGTAACCCTCACAATGTTACAAAGTTGGTACTATTTCCAACTCCAAGCGGCCTTTCCGATTCCAAAGCCTGCGGGATTATTACGTAAGAATACCCTTTACAGAGGTACGCTAAACCTCTAGCAGGCAGCGTTACCCCAGAAGGGCCCTGCTCCGGGCAGCCCGCTCCTGGGAAGCCGTACCTGTTGCTCACCTTTTAGCAGGTCTTTGGCTCTCCTTGGCTTGGCCGGAGTGCCCTGCTTGCCTTCCTCCAGGGCCAGCTCTGCTTCCAGGTTGCTGGCTCTGGGGCTGGAGCCCAGGGCCCCTGCTGCCGGCTCCTCCTCTGCCCGCGGCACCTCCAGCAGGTCTGCCTTTCTGCCCTGAGTAGGGGAGCGTTTCTGCCGCCCTGGACTCCCCGGGGGCCCCGGTGCAAGGCCCTTCCGGGGCCCCCGGGGGGAATCCGAGGGGCTCTCCCTTTCTTCGGGCTTGGTTGGCTCCCCATCTCCTGCTGCTCTGACCTTAGGGAGAAACCTCTTCCTCCGGGCCCCCAGAGCCAGTTCCTCGGGCGTAGCTGCGGGGAGATCTGTCAGAGCTTCCCCTGGGATCTCCTCCTCTCGGAAGCGTTCCTGGGCTCTGCGCTCTGCTGACAGCAGTCCCTGCCCAGGGGCTGCCGGTCCACCCACGCCCCCCAGCGGCCCACCCATGCCGCTCTCCTGGGAGGTCGGCAGGAGGCCAGGCCCCTCAAGGGAAACCTCTCCCTCACCTCCACTGGATCCTCCTGAGGCCACCCCGGGGCCTTCCTCCTCACCTACCACGATGGCAGGGACAGAGAGGGGGCTGGGGCCAGGGCACCGGGCAGCAGCCAGGGCCTGACAGCCAACCTGCACCTCGCGGTCCAGGAGGCCAGTGAGGCGGCGGGAGGTACAGGGGCTCAGCAGCAGAGTCTGTGCGCTCTGCACCAGACGGTTGTTCTCCACACGCTCCAGGATGCGCCGTGACGTCCGGGGACTCAGACCGGCCACTTCCACGGTGGGGGCCAGAGAGGGTGAGGGTGCCTGATCCCCAGCGGCAGCTTCCTCCTGGGCCCCTGGGCCCCTGCCACTCGTCTCTGAGCTGGATAGCTTCAGCAGCAGGAGCAAGTAGCTCTTCAGGGAGTCTATGAGGCCAGGGTCACAGGTCTGGGGGCCTGAAGTCCTCCCTTCCACACCGGGCACCTTGGCGCAGGCCCCCTCAGCGTCTGCTGCCCTGGTTCCTGGCGGGTGACTCTGGCTGGGGGTGCCCAGCCCCAGGTGCAGTGCGGGGGCAGAACTCAGCGAGGCCTTGTCCCCAGAGGGTAGGAAGGCAGCTGTGCTCATGTGCTGAGAAGCCGGGGTGCTGGGCAGCCGCTGCTGTGAGTTATCCATCAGGCCAGCCCCAGGAAGAGAGGGCAGAGTGGGCACCTGGGGGCTCAGGCCCGCTGAAGGACAGCCACCCAGATCCACAGGCAGCACTTCTCCCGGCTGTTCCTGCTTGGGGCCCTGGGACAGGCCCTCGTCGGCCTTGTCCTTAACTGGACCCGACTGCTCCGGCCCTCGATATCTCTCTCCTCCCACCTGCTCCAAACTGCCCTCAGGAGGCAGCTGTGCCCCGCGTGTGAGGTCCCCCGCCAGGGGACCTGGCACAGTTTCCTCACGGCTCCCGGAGGCCGTTCCTGCTGCCTCGTCAGATCTGAGCATAAACTCAGGTTTGTCTGGGACGGAGAACTCTTCTGGGGTCTGTTCAAAGCATTCAGTAATCTGAGGGGACCTAGGATCCTCTGAAGGTGGGCGTTTGGGGGCCCTGGACTGTGGGCTGATACCGGTCATGGACGCCTTCTCTGACCAACATTTCACAGCTGTGGGAATGCTCCCCTCTGACCATGTCCCCTTGTCTTCCTGCACCCTTCTGTCTGCCTGTGTCCTCTTATCTGCCTGGGTCCCCACCTTTCCTTGTGCCATCACGTCCTCCTGGGAATTCCTGCCTGACTCTGACCTCTCACTTTCTTGTGTCACAACATCCACCTGTGTCTTCCTATCTGCCTGTGTCCTCTGGGTGGTTTGTGTTCCATCTCCCTGCGTCCTCCCATCCACCTGCATCTTCCTATCCATCTCTGTATTCTTCTTGCCTCCAGTGTTCTGATCAGCAGATGCTCTCCTGTCCTCCTGGGTTTCTGTGTCCATGGGCTCAATGATATCCTGACTTCTGGAGGTGCTGCAACCAGCAGAGACCATATCAGAGCTGCTGCTGGCCAATGTGGTAGGAGCCATGGTTGCCTGGGACTCCTGGACCTGAGAACACATGGACAGAAGCAAGAACTTAACTACACGTGCCTTAGGATCTCTTTCCAATCCAACATCCCAGCCTCCTCTGACCTCATCCAGAACTGCCATGATGAAAATCCTGCCACCTGGTTTCTCAGGCCTGCTGGGGGTGACAGAGTCCCAAGCCCACCCACCCAATCCCTGATCCCAGAGTCTACACCAGGGAATATCCAGAATCCAGGTCTAGCTCTGGCCCTCCCCACCTCTCCCCAAAGAAATTTTGCCTCTCCTGACAGCCCCTGATCACGTGCTACCCCACCCCTCAACCCTGCCATTCGGAGGAGAGTGTCCTCTCCCCAGGGCCTCCAAGCAGTCAATCTGTCCCTCTCTTGTGGCACTAACTGTCCTGGATAGAATTATGGGTGAAGTGGGAGGGTGCCAGGGGGTCTCCTTGATAGCATCAGGGACAGCATCATCATTAATGCTGAGTGAGCGGCAATTACAAAATGCCATCCAGAGAGGGTTAAAGTCATTACGAATGACACCTATGCCAGGAGATCCGTGAAACATTATAACGTTACCCTTCTGAACACCCGTTATTTGCAAAACACCATGCTAGGCCCTTACTTATCACATATGTATTACCTCGCTCCTCACAACAATACCAAATAGTTTGCAAGAATCATCTCTATTTTAGAGATAAGAACACTGATGGTCAAAGAAGGAATATGGTTTGTCCATTATCAGAGAGTAAGCGGTAGAGTTTAGTTTAGAAGCCAGGTGTGTCTAGCTTCAAATCTCATGTTCTTTGTTGTTACACTATATGGTCACACATTTAAATATAATGAAAGGACCTTCTATCTAAACATCCTGGCATAAAACAGTAAATTGCCTCTTTTCATGTTGGATATAATCAAAACCAACTAAGTAAACAAGAAAAATCAAAGCAAATTCCATTGTTAGTGGAAATGGAGGCTAATAAAACCTACAGTCTCAAAAAAAAAATGGGAAGGATTGCCAAAAGCAGATAGATGAAACTCTGGGAGGTTGCAAGAGCTGTAGGATCATGGAGGACTGGGTGGAAATCAAGCAGAAGACATACAAGGGAGACGTCCAACAGTCAGGAAAAGAACAGTGAAGCAGCCTACCGCAGGCAGTTCTCAAAAAACATGAGCAAAAATACACAAAAATTGCTAAGAAAATAGATTTTGAACATACGAGAACTTAAGGAATAGTGTTCCGTGGCCCTGGAGGAAACTACTGGAGAACAAACTTTGGTCAACCAAAAGATGACTGGGGAAACCACAGCAGAAGAATTGATGGTGAACGCTGAACATATATTTAACCATAGAACCAAGACTAAAACCAAAAAAGTTTAGAGTGGCAGATCAGAATGTCAGTGTTTATGCCCTGACAATGCAGAAACGATACAACTAGCACAGAAGGGGAAGGGGGAAGAAGATGACAAGTGGAGTTAAATGCCTTAATTGTATCACTTATAAAGCCAGGAATCAAAGGCATGACTCAAAGCTGAAAACCCAGGTAACAGAAATACAGCATATTCAATTATACAAAGATAGTCACTTAGAAATAAAACTTTGGGATAATAGGAGATAGAAAATGAAAGGGAAAAAAAGGTAGGGAGGAAGTGGAAGCACGATCACTGCTCATCATAAAAAAGTAAAACACACTGACTAAACAGATAAAATTATGGATGATATTACATAAATTTTAAATTATAAAGTACTACGTACAAATATTTCTAAGTATCAGAAGAACCACACACAAAACCAAAGCAAACAGAACGTATGAGACCTTAATATGTATTTAATTAAATTATATTTAAATTAAGTATAGAATTTAAAGTTACTTTACTGCGTATGGAATTCTGAATGAATGGTATGAATACGAAAAAAATAGAAGAGTCTGGTGAATAACAGGAGCCATCAAATGTAAGTCTGACTGACCAAAGAATGTTAGTAAAAACGCTCCTCCAACTTCTCTGAGAACCAGTAAGACACGTACAAAAACACCTTGGAGCTGGGCTTCCCTGGTGGTGCAGTGGTTAAGAATCCACCTGCCAATGCACGAGACATGGGTTCAAGCCCATGGAAGATCCCACATGCCACGGAGCAACTAAGCCCATGAACCACAACTACTGAGCCTGCACTCTAGAACCTGCAAGCCACAACTACTGAGCCCGTGTGCCACAACTACTGAAGCCCGTGTGCCTAGAGCCCCTGCTCTGCAACAAGAGAGGTCACCACAATGAGAAGCCCGTGCTCACCACAATTACAGAAAAGCCTGCGCACAGCAACAAAAACCCAATGCAGCCAAAAATAAAATTTAAAAAATAATTAAAAAAAAAAAAACCTTGGAGCCAACAAACAGCACTTAGGAATATATTAGAACCTTTTTTTAACTTCTGATATTCTAGGATTAAGAAATATATTTTTAATATTTATTTATTTATTTGGCTGCACTGGGTCTTAGTTGCAGCATGCAGGATCTTCGTTGCGGCATGCGGGATCTAGTTCCCTGACCAGGGATTGAACCTGGGACCCCTGCATTGGGAGCACAGAATCTTAACCACTGTACCACCAAGGAAGTCCCAGGATTAGAAAATATTAATATGGACATGAGATCTAAACATTTACAAAGAAAATGCTGACTTTACACACAAGGCTCATGTGAACAGAACTTTTGATTAAAGCTGTCTTCACTCCCCCTCACCCGCAGACTGATCAGTCCCTGAGTCCTACTGAACCTGCCTCTTCAGTATCTCAATATCCATTCCCTTCTCTCTGTCTCCACTGCCAACACCCTAATCTAAGCTGCCAACAATTCTATCTTGCCTGGACTATAGTAAAGCCTCCTAATTGGTATCCGTGACTCTAGTCTTTGCCTCTGCCAAATATGCAGCCCAAGTGATCTTTCTAAAATATAAAGCTGGGCACTTCCCTGGTGGCGCAGTGGTTAAGAATCCGCCTGCCAATGCGGGGGACATGGGTTCGAGCCCTGGTCCGGGAAGATCCCACATGCCACGGAGCAACTAAGCCCGTGCACCACAACTACTGAGCCTGCGTGCCACAACTACTGAAGCCTGCGTGTCTAGAGCCCCAGCTCCACAAGAGAAGCCACCGCAATGAGAAGCCCATGCACCGCAACAAAGAGTAATGCCCGCTCGCTGCAACTAGAGGAAGTCTGCGTGCAGCAACAAAGACCCAACGCAGCCAAAGATAAATAAATTAAAAATAATAATACAAAAATAAAAAATAAATCTGATTGTGACACTCCCCTCCTTAAAAGCCTCTCAGCAGCTTATCATCACTTACAGGCTAAAGCCTAAAAGCCCTAGCCTAAAAGAGCAAAAAGTTTAAGAATATTCCCTGCCTGGCAGGGTATGGGGAAACAGGCATCAGCACAGCCTCTATGGATAGTAATTTGGCATTATCTAGTAAAACTAAAAATACTTATACTCTTTGACCCAACAGTTCCACTCCTAGGAATTTACCCTATAGATATACTTTCATGTGCAAATTGACATATATACAAGGATACTCGTTGCCTCATAGTTTATAATAGCAAAAGGCTAGAAAATATCTAAATTACATCAATACAGGATTGATCCAATGAATTATGGTATATCCACACCCCAAATAAATAAAATAAATACCCAAATAAAAAAGCAAGGTATAGGACAGAAAGTATCATATGTCACCTTTATGTGGAAAATACAGAGACACATATTTGTAAATGTACAGAAGATAGCTCTGGAAGGATGCCCAAGATACCAGTTATGGCAACTTATTTCAGGAAGAGGGATGGGGTGGTGGCGGTAGGGAAAGGGTGAAGATTTAATATTCTCTAAATACTTTTTATACTTTTTGGATTTTATACCATATGCCTATGACACATATTTAACAAAATCCAATTAAGAATGAAAATGCATAAGTAAATAGGCCCTTGTGTGATCAGTGAGGGCTGTCCTTCAGCAGAGAACCCAGGTCTGTCTCTCCAGCCTCATCTCTTGGGTCCCTCCATCCAACAACACTAACGTACCATGCTGATTACTGTGCTATTTTATAACCACTTTGTTTTTCTCTGCTGGACATTCTCAGCCTTCTCATTGCTCACCTGAAGAACTCCTCCTTCTTTTCCCTGAAGACCTCACTCAAGTTTCTTCTCGTTTTAGAAGACTTCTGAGTTCCCTTCTCCACCCCCCAAAACGTACGTGGCTTCTTATCCTATGTACCCATGGCAAATGTACCTAATTCTATTATTATACCCTCATTCTCTGTGGCAGTTATGCACGTGTCACCTGCTAATCTGTGAACTCTTCCCTTTCAAAGAGGGCCCAGCACAGGCCCAGGGTTAGACTTGGTGTGCAATAACTATAAAGACTGACCTATCTAAACACTATGTGGGGTGGGTGTGTGTGTCTGCATCTGGAACTGTATGGAGAAGTGAGGAGGAATGTCATGTATTTCTTAAAAATAAAAAACTGTGTGAGCTGGGGTGAACCTATCTGGTTCTCTGTGGGCTTTTTCATTACAAAGAACATTAGCAGTTTTAATTTTCCATCCTGTCTTTCTGTCTTCTCTGTAAAATTTTTGAGATCAAGGAACCAGTCTGAATCACCTTTGCATCCTTCACAGACCGAGGCACATAGGAGGTTCACAGGAATGAGCCACTGAATGGCAAGTACTATGGCTTGTAACCCTCTAAGAGGAGAGAGTGCTGGTTTGGAGAAGCAGGATACAAAGCCAGGGGCTTAACAGGGATGGAGCAGGGCATTGTTAAGGACCTGGAATCTACTTCCTTGATGAAACCCAGACCCAGGCCTCATACTGAGGCTTCATCATCTTTAAATGTTTGGTATAATTTTCCAGTGAAACCATGTGGCCCTAAAGATTTTGGGGAGGAGATTTAAAATTACAAACTCAATTTCCTTAACAGTCATAGTGTTATTCAAATTATCTTGTTTCATTTTTACATGAGTTTTGGTAGTTTTTTTTTTTTAAGAA